GGTACTGGGATAGAAGGAAGCTTCTGGTACACTTGAGCTAAGGCTCCCAATGTGGAAGATGCTGAGAAGATAAGGGATGCAGCTCGGACGCGTTCAAGGGTCGAGATGCGAAGTGGCAAAGATGCCGGACTCTGCGGCAGACCGAACAACGAGATGAGCTGATTTGAGAATGTGTGCATCGCTGGTGCGAGCATTTCAGCAGTCAAAGCAGCCGGCGTGTCTGCCTCGCCCTCCAAGTTTAGTATGTGTACACCACCCCATTGCGGAATTAACCAGCTGTTCCCTGCATTCTCCCTGACCACAAGTGGAGACTGCGTGTGATCCGGTACATACAGAATGAAGTTGACGGTCGGCCCCTCGCCAATGCTGGGACTGAGGGGCCACTCAGCCGCGTTCACGAACCCACTAAGGTCTTCCTTGCGGAGAGTCCATGCCTTTGTAGCTTCATCGTATTCCGGCTGGCGGACCGACGGAGCGAATGTTGCGTAGAGCTGTACTTGCGTATCGACGGTGAAGTTGCTGATGGCGGAGAAGGCGTCAAGAAGGGGGCTCATGTACGTCTGGAGAGCAGTCTCGATGTCCCACTGCGAAGGTGCGTAGGAGGGACTGAACAAGGAGAACGTCAGGTGGTATGTTGGAGCATACTTCAGGGCGCGCGTGGACTGGCGCTGAAGCTCTGCGGACATTTCTGGAGAAAGCGCCTTCACTTTGGCAGCATGTGCACCAGAAGTTACCGACAAGACGTGCGCCAACTGCGCCTGCTCTTCCCCAAATATGTTGTGTAGTTCCTGAGCAAGGAATGTAGCGAGACTCGAGCCAGTCGACGACTGCGATGGAATCTGGTTTGGCGAGTAGTACACGTCTAGCGTTGGGGAATATGGCTGCAGCTGCGACCGTGGCGTTGTGCCCGTCTCGACAGGTATCAGTCGGATGACCAGGGCCACGTCCTTGTCATCGCTCTGGATGCTTGTTCCATCGACAATGACTTGTTGCGAGGCGTTTTGCTGCGAGGGAGAATCGGCGAGCATCAGTCGGAGGTGGTGGGCAGAGAAGTCGTTGATATCGTCGAGAGCATGTTGCGTCGTACGGAGGAGATGTTGCGCATCCGTGGAAGGGATCGGGGCCTCTACAGCGATGCGCAGAGGGAAGACTGGCTTACAGACCTGCCGCGGTGTCAGCTATGTTGTTGACAGGGTGCTATACTTTGGAGGGTTCTACCTTGCCCTCAGCCCAGTCCGTCATGTCCTGCAGTGGCAGCTCTGCCCTGTAGATGGCCGTTGTCTTCAGCCATATTGGTAGGCCCAGAAACACCACGACCACCCAAAAGGAGAGGATGGACAGGCGGCGCAGCCATAAGCTCTCTTTCGTCTCGGGCGGAGGCTGCTTAGCCAATGCTGCCGCGGTGGGGGTCGAAGGCGATTGAGCGGACGTCTGCTTCAACTCGGCCGCCAGCGACGCGTCGGAATCATTTGGTGCAGCCATGTTGCGGTTGACTTGTTCCATGCTGTCACTTGGGGCAATGTCGCGCTAACACAAGCGTCCGTGCGTCTGGGTCCACCATTCACGCTCACACGAGACATCTCCAGTACCTCGCAACCACTTCATCTAAGAAAAAGAGTAAGTGCCCTAGAGCTCACGTTGACGTCAGATCCTCTACTTTGCATGTTTTTATGTTAATGTAGGCTAGAGACTTGTTAAGGTTTTCTATGAATGAGGTGCAACCACGCTACTGCGCCATCATTCATCCTCATAGGACAGCAGTGGACTGTGATTCATTCATGTTCTCTGTTCTCCATCATGAGCTCTCTTCTTTTAAAGGAGCTTCGAAACGTGGAAAGCGTCAATGCAGACACAAAGTCCACCCTACTAACCTCGGGAGAGTCGGATCCTTGGCTAGGATCAGATTCAAGGAAACGCGTGCAAGCAAGGCTGACTAGGCTTTTAAGAGCGCGTTATCCTGTCAGCTGAGAAGCTTCGTAGATCTGGCCTCTGCCAAAAGGAAGCAGTACTTAGGTAGTCAAGCGGGCCCGAGCTGCAACGAGCGATTGAGTTTCAGCTTACTTTGTATGCTTTCTAGCGTGCGGTCTCCAGGCATATCCCGAGAGCCAGACAATTTGCGCAGAATGTTTGAGTGTCCTATTTACCATCTTCAATTTCATGTCTCGTGATAGCAACATGTTCTGTGGTCGTGCTTTATTGATGGTCTGCTCGTGAACACATGGTCCGTGCGTGACAATATGAGTGAATTCCAATGAAGCTACATTCAGCCCTCACGCTGGATTTCTTGATCAATCACGAATCACCTAGCTTCCGAGTAGCTTCGCACTATTCATCACTCATCTCATAGCTCATCATGGTTGTTTCAGGGACGCATGCGATCGAGACAGGCCAGCAAGGGTCAGCACGCGGGGAGCTTCGATCGACGTTCTTGCCCCGCCGACTAGACTACTTGCAGCGACAAACGGTCCGTGCTAAGCGGGGTTGCATATCTGGGGAAGGAGAGCTACAGACGTGACGCGGTGCTTGGGCACGAGACTATAGTAGCTACCCCTCTCAGCTGAGACAGCTTCGCTCCTTCCTACTACTCTCTCCTCCAACAACTTCATGCTCACTTCAACAACTTACTCAGTCCATTTCAACTCACATCCTACTCCAAATCATTCACAATGAGTGCAATCGCTGACAGCACCGATGGCCCTGTCGAGCAGGTCAAGGTGCTGTTTGCCCTGTTCCCGGGCTACAACACGCTCGACGTGGCAGGTCCGCTTGAGGTCCTCAGTCGTTCCCTCCAGGACTCCAAGGACAAGTGTAAGCTTAGAAGCTCAGTCAATTGGATGTTTGTTGACACTCCACAGCTAGCAAGGCGTTCAACTGCCAGTTCGTCGGCACTGCTGCTGCCATGACGTCCGTCCAGGGTCTCACCATCAAAGCGGACATGGACTATGATGTAAGCATACCCGCGAGAAGCAAGGAACCTACGCTGACATCCATCTCAGGACGCCAACGACGAGCTTGAGGACTTCGACGTCGTCATTGTTCCCGGTGGTGAGGGTGTCTTTGAGGTCCTCAAGAACAAGTCTGAGCCTCTTGGCCTCCTCACCAAGTACGTCGAGCTCCAGGAGAAGAGTCCCAGCAAAGAGCGCACCATCCTCGCCATCGACGTCGGTGCTCTGCTCCTCGCTCAGCAGGGCATGCTCGAGGGCCTTGCCGCTACAACCCACCCAGACTACTACGTCCGTCTCGAGACCATCTGTCAAGATGCGGCTAGACGCGACATGTCGGAGCGTACAGACGTCATGGAGGAGCGGTACGTTGTCAACAACGCTCGCTTCGACCTAGGCGAGAACCCCGACGACAACCCGTAAGTAGGCCTTGAATTGCGGTGGCATGCAACGCTCACCATTACAGGTACATCATCAAGAAGTCGCGTGAGCCGCCCAGCGCTCCCGAGGGCACCAACATGGGCCATGCTCGTAGGAAGTCGATCGCTCGCAAGGGCAGCAACGCCTGGCGCGACTCTCGCCGCCGCGAGTCGATCGCTCGACGTGCTTCCATGCCCCTGGGCGGTATGCGCGTCATCACCACTGGCGGTGTGACTGCTGGGCTCGATGCCAGTCTATACTTGGTGGGTTCTTTGGCTTCTCACGACTCGGCTCTGGAGGTCGCTCGTGCTATGCAGTATTCTTGGGTCAAGGGCGTTACGGTCGATGCGATCGATGTTTGAGCTACGGCTCCCGCGCGACAAGCGAAGGCGTTTACGAGGAAAGGGTTGAACGGAGATCTGAGAAGATCATCTGGAACATGTCGGGAATCATAGAGATTTACCACGACGAATCATGTGAGGATTCATTCGAGAGTATGTAAAGAATCAAGAAATTCTAAAAGAGCTTTTCGGGAGTTTGAGGTGTCGTTGCGAGAGCGGCCGTGCCAGTGCGAAGCTCAAGCGTCTCCACAAGCTCCACAAGCTCCACAACAGGCGGACAACCGATCTTCCGCTCTTTACCTCACCGTCACCGGTTCCCACAGGATTTGCATCGCAACTTGCGCAGCCGTCAATCTTATTTGCATTGGCTTGGTTACAGCCTTCATCATGACGCGTGTGTCATCTCCAATGAACGATTGCGCGGCGGGACCGGTCCATCTCGGCCAGCTTTCCACAGCCATCGCAGCTCGGGAAATCCCGTTCACACTGCTAATCACAGCGTCCACCACTTCCGTGCATCAAGTGTACACTGACCTCGCGGACCAGAACTATATAAAAGTGTAAGACTTTCAAGGTTGTGAGATCACTAACGCATATGCAGTAATGGTCGTCTCATGCGGAAGCGTGTGAGCCACTGGATGTCTGCATGCATTTTCGTCACAGTAATCGACGGACTTTATCCGCGGGCGTAGTATGTTGAACCTGGTATCTCGAAGCGTTCAAACGAAGCAAGCTCTACTCTCCGCCTCATCGACCTCGACACGGCGCAGTGCAAGCTCGATGTTAGGCCAATCCCTGGAATATGCCGACGACGCTGTCCACATGATCGCTACGGGTCCTTGAACATCATGCTGGCAACTGAAGAACTTCTCCTTCGATTTTACTTCATTACAAATCCCACAGACTATGCCTAGACGTCGTTCTCAAGCTCACTGTGCCCCGTCTGACTGAGTCTTGGAGAGCTGCCACCAAGAACCCGTCGATCATCGCTTGCCCACACGAAGACTTTGACGCTTTGACTGGCTTAGCATTACGGCCGTCGTTTCCAGAGCGAGCTTCTAACTATACTCAGCCAGTGTCTCAGTATGCCTGAGCTCTTTCAGTACGCTTACATGGTCCTGGGCCTATCATCTCCATCGCCTGCCTGCCATCTAGCTGATTCTGGGCGTGATCCTAGGATGATTCAGCAGACGGACACGATATGAACTCTTTCTTAGCGCCAAGAATCGCCGAATGTGTAATGCTACCATCAGATCTTGTTCTCCGTTGGGTGAAGCGACGGATTTCCCGCCCCCGCATGAGGTAAGCAGCAACCGAAGCGCTTCGTCCCGAACCAATCGCGGAACATGTGATGTCAAGACTGATGCATGAAGATGGAGCTGTCTTAGCAGCCAAGTCTTTATAATCCAGGTCACTTCGGGATTTTGTCAACTTTCTGCTGCGATCGTCTAGTTGTTGACTTCGTATCTCACCTAAGAAGTCGCCCTGTAAGGATATGCTGCCTTACTCTGAGCTGTTCATCGCTCTCGTCTGGCGTGACTGACACAAGGCCGCATCGAAACTCCAGCTGGAGCCAGTAGGAGTGACAGGAACACCGTTGCTTACTGGGAGACATTCTGAGTGCCACCCAGGCAGGACGAGCAGAAGGATTACGACTACGTCGCCAAGTAAACAGCTGTTGTTGAACGACCGGGCCTATCACACGTTCAAATACGAAACATACAGGACGCCTATAGACGACAACGACGGGGGTGGTGAACAACGGAGGCTGGAACATGTAGCCAACGGAAAACCATAAATACCCCCTCGACTGTCTCTTCTTTCTTCTCAGAATGACAACACGCAACCTAAACGGCAATTGGATTGACACTCTCCGAAGACAGTACGTCTACGACCTGAAAGACGACTCTCCCCATCCTATCAAATACCTTCTTTACAATCCCCACAAGAAGCAAGACTTGTACTTTGTCATTCCCAACAAGATCGAAGAGCCGCAACTAAGACGCTCCCTTGTCAAGTACCACCTATCTACCAAGGGTACCTCAGTCGTCGAGTGGGAGAACGAGCACATCCAAGTCATCTACCACCCTCGATACGCAAAGGAGCTACGAGAAGCCGCCCAGTCAACCAGCGAAGCAGAAACCCAGAACGAATCACCAACTCCCGAACAGCAAACATGAAGTTCACCCTCGCCACCGCTCTTCTTCTCCTCGCTCCCGCGCTTATCAAAGCCTGGAAGTTTGAGGTCTTCGAAGAAGACTGCATCACCTCTACTGACTTCAACGAAGGGGACGACGATGTAGAGTGTGAAGATACGGCGGAGCCGCACGGGTGTTTCCGCATCTCTGAGATGGGTAGCTGCGAGATATTCTTCCACGCGGATGCTGATGAGTGTGAGGATGGCGAGGTCACTATGTCGTACACGGCTACGGACCAGGATCGCGATATCACGCCTGACTTTGAGTGGAACAACTGGAGCGTTCAGTGCTAGAACTGGAAATGATTGTACGTCGTGTGGGAGTGAAGGGTGAGATGTTTGGTCCGGTGGACTGTCCAATCGCTAGATACTTTACCTAGGTATTCTCTTATTTCTTTGAAGTATCGCTGTGATAGCATGTCAGTCGTTAGATAAATACTACAATCGAATCTGTACAGATCTAGAGCGTTGACGTAGACGTCGCAAAGTCAATGCGGACGTTGAAAACCACAGGAGCGTAGTGTAGACGAAGCCGTCTGATCATTGCCTAGGTGCACCGCAATAGGCGGCAGGCTTTCAGTGCTACTTGAGCTACTCTCACTTTTTTGATGTCGGAGTAGTGAAAAGAATGATCGGTAAACTTCATACAACTTGCAGAGTATCTGTTCACTTCAACGTCACCTAGACTACGACGACGCTCAAGGCCTCCATGGTATCTTCACGAGCGCTGCAATCAACGGACATGAGAACCTGCCTAATTGGGACGTTCCACCTCACGCTAGTGGGCACTGACATGACCAATCACAACCACGAAGTGACAGACCCGCCTAAACTTGCCCTCCCCTGCTCGCGTCTTCCCCAACGCAAACCGCCATGTCTTGGCCACGACGAACCTAGGCAAGCCACAGATGTCGCAACACATGGGCGCAATGATTGGACAATGAGTGTTCATCACGTCTTCTTCGCGACTGAAGCGTCTTGGCTTCTGCGCGTCTGTCTGTGCATGATGCGTGTGCCCAGCTTCAATTCCTCTCGAGGATATAGTCCATCCTTCCATTAGCACAACCATCGCATCACGACAACGCGCATGAGGTAACCATCACTACCAATGCCACTTCAGTCACTCATAAGTTCGCTTCGGCGGCGCAGTCATCGCGCCGCGCCTCCTCCAGCGCACTTGCAGGCAAATACCGAGAAGATCCAATGGCGTCTCGTCGAAGTGTTTACCCGCATGTGGGATCTAGGGTTCACTGCCTTTGGAGGGCCGCCTGTGCATTTCCAGATTCTGCATCGCAGGTTTGTGGAGGGAGTGGGGTTTCAGGGTGGGAGTAAGTGGTTGGATGAACAGACTGTAAGTATGCGTGTGCAGATGCGTAGTAGTAAGCTCTATGGTAGAAGTACCAATGAACTGGGTTTCAAGGAAGAGCTAGGAAATCTTCTTGAGACCGGATGAGAAGATGGAGAGATGAACCACTCCCTCGACTACCTCTACAACAGAATGCCGCGCAACTAACAACACTCCCCAGTATCAAGAACTCTTCGCAATCTGCCAAGCACTCCCCGGCCCCGCGTCTACCAAGATGTGCTTCTGCATTGCCCTCCTCCACGCGGGTATAGTCTCCGCCGTCTTCGCCTTCCTCCTCTGGAGTCTCCCCGGCGCAATCGGCATGTACGGTCTCTCACTCGGCGTGCAAAAGATGCCCGAACGCCTCCCACCCATCGTGTATGCCCTGCTCTCCGGTCTCAACGCCAGTACCGTCGGTATTGTCGCACTAGCTGCTGTTCAACTAGCTGAAAAGGCTATTAAAGACCGTGTAACACGTATCCTGGTGATCTTCGGTGCGTGTGCGGGACTGTGTTATAATGCGCTTTGGTTCTTCCCCGTGTTGATTGTTATCGGTGGACTCACGACGGTGGTATGGGATGTCTGGCTTGGGCGGCGCGTGGGTAAGATGAGAGCTGCGTATCTGGCTAAGAGGAGGAGAGCGAGGAATGAACAAGGTGATGCGGAAGAAGTTTCGGCTACCACGCAGACCATACCTATTGAACTTCAGCGACCGGAAGCTGTGAAGAGGAGGGTTGGGACGGGTAGCTCGACTGATCGTATTGTGCCTGAGCAGGAAGAGGCAGGGAGGAGTCATGCAGGTGAACATCCAGTTGTTGATGATGTGATTGCGACGAATGAGCCTGTAGCTGATGTTAAGACGCATAACATCTCGGTCAAGGTTGGCATGTCGCTTATCGTGGGATTCCTTATCTCATTCATCGTCGTTATGGTCATCCGTGGAACGGTATCCAGCACCCGGTCCTTCGATGTTTTCTCCAACATGTAAGCACCCTGTCTACCCATCCAGCTCTTCCCACTAATCTCACACTGCACAGGTATCTAGCCGGCACCATAATCTTCGGCGGCGGGCCCGTAGTGATCCCCCTCCTCCGCTCCTACGTCGTAGACCCAGGCTGGGTATCGCCCCGAGACTTTCTCCTGGGCCTCGCCATCATCCAAGCCTTCCCCGGCCCCAATTTCAACTTCGCGGTTTACCTTGGCGCTTTGGCCATCGCCTCAGCTCCTGCTTCTACACCGACCATCGTGGGCGCCCTCCTTGGTTTCATTGGCATCTTCTTCCCTGGCATTGTGCTCGCAGTCGGTGTGCAGTCTATCTGGCAGGTTATGCGCACCAAGGCTTGGGTGGCTAGTCTGCTAAGAGGTATCAACGCGACTGCTGTGGGACTGGTGTTCACGGCTGTGTATAGACTTTGGGAGATTGGTTATCTGACGCCGGAGAGCAGTGATGGGAGGAGTTTGGCAGATGAGCCGTGGTGGGTGGTTGTTGCTGCTATGGCATATGCGGAGACGGCTTGGTTTGGTGTGCCGCCTGCCATAGCGATTATCATCGGCGCTGTTCTGGGACTGGGATGGTATGGGGCAGTCGGCCATTAAGAGACTCATTCGCTCGCACTTCACACAGATTTCCGTTGTGCGAGATGATGTAGGACAAGACACAATATGTGTATGTGTTGTTTGGACTATCTGTTGTACAAATACTAGATAAGAATCATACCAAAGGGAATGATTAGGGGAGATGCAACCCGATAAAAGGACCTCGACCCGCCAGCAAAAACATATACTTAAGAAATTTGGGCCCGAATTTGGGCGAAAAGAAGTACCAGCAAGCAAGCCAGTATTATACGCCCTCAGCACCGAAGCCTTGACCATCTTGTAACCAATGAATCCCAGTCCGAACGCCATAACATGCCGGTAAAAAATCCGAAGGAAAGCAGTAGTAGCACAAAAAGACATTGTGATCTCCATCCGGGCATGAGTCACGCCGCTAGACGACCACCGCCTCGTCTAGTTGTAGTATCCCCCATTTGGCGCGGAAGTAGACGTGTTCGGATCGTTGATCTTTCCGCCTCCATTGTGAATGACTGGCGGGTTCTTGTATGATTTGCTGCGTGACGAGCTACCGGAGTTTGTGTACAGGCTCGATGAGGCGGCAGAGTAGGCTGCAACAGTGTTAGAGTCATATCTTTGGGGTGATCTGATAGAATTTGGGAACGTACATGTGGAAGATGTCGAGGGACGGGATGCGTAGGCACCCTTGCTCTGGCCGTAAGAGCCGTAAGATGAGCTGGACGACATGGTTGGTTGGTGTTGAGGGTGTTGGAGGCGTTTGGCTGCCAGTTGTGATTCGAGAAGATCAGATGAGTGATCGGCGTGTGCTGTGTGATAGACGGTAATAGAGTTGTATCGGGTGTATACGAGACGAAAAGGGCGTATCGTGATTGTAATCCAAGGTAGACCGTTGACTGAAGACCAACACGAGGACAACTGTCACTCTTCTCGAAATATGCTTGATATGACTGTAGATAATTGATCGATTGACTGATGAAGAGAAGAAAGATAGCATCCATCCACCTCGACCTACGACTATTTATTCCAGGCAGACAATACCTGAGGCCGCCAACCTAGGAAGACTCACCACTCGCAACGTTGACTGTTCTTTGTCGCCATCGGAGTTCTCCTAACGCTCAATGTAACGCCGTTGCCTGGATAGCTGGGCTAGGCGCGTGGTCGAGGTGAATGACTGCGCGATTGCGATGATTCACACGCGTGGCTATGTTCACCTCGGGACAAGTCCTGAGGCAGGACACGCGTGTGCGCGAATCAGCGATTAGGCTGCACTTTCGGTTCACCATTTGAACTGCCAAGAGGAAGAGTCATCATCGGCGGGTGCGGATTTACCGAAGGAACCAGTTCAATCGGCGTCGACTAAGGTCGGGTCACGGCTAGAAAGGATCGAGGTGGTGACTCGCATGGCGCAAAGGGCGTACGCGTTGCAGCCATCTCCTGCAAGGCACATCAAGCGAATCGAACCTATGAAAAGGCAGCAGGAAATTTGTCAGAGACGCGTTACCCAGTGACGTGCCTGACACCCCAGGCGACAGCGGTGCCCGAAACGGATAATGACAAAGCGGACAGGACTGGTGAATGAGAAAGTCACCGGTTGACCGAAAGAAGATGGGGTGTGGGGGCTGGAGGCAATGTAGGTGCCTGGAGCTATTGCAGGCAGCATTGCAAAGCATTCACCGAGATGCAACGGTAAAGAGCTCATCGGCGGCGTCCGATAATGAAGACAGGGGCATGTAATGGGAAAAAGGGCAGATATGTCAAGGCAAAAGGCGGTGTTGTGGAGTAGGGTAGGAGGCGCAGTGGAAGGGTCCTGGTGCATGGCGGGGTTGTTGCGTACATAGCGGGAGGCCATCAATCCGAGCAAGGCTGTCGCGAGGCTGCACGCGAGTCACGTGGGTGTTCATTCCGCACTGACTCAGAGCAGGTAGTTGTGGCGACTGCGCGGCTCTGGATTGCGCAACTGCGCATATGGTCCAGGTGTTTGCCAGCGCATAGCCGGTGAACTGCTGGAGAAGTCAGGACTGAACTGCTCGCCAACTACGCTGCGCATGCGCAGTAAGGTGGGCCGAGGGACATTGTTAATTTCCAGTATACCAACGCAGAGCCGGTGAACCGTCGGAGGCATAGCATCTTCAACGTGTGACTTGGGCTGCTTATCGAGCGCGGCATACATGGGCAGCCAATGAGTCAAGATCGTCATCAATTGGTATCGAATGCATTGGGTATCGCTATATCCGCTCCCTGAACCTCCACGTCTAATCGTACAATCTCAGAGCACCATTCAGATCACCAGCAACCACCTTGCTCGACTCCCTCGGATGCCACTGTACTGACAGTACAGGCGCATCGCTCGCTGGAATCTTATGGTACATCTTGCACGTCTTCCAGTCCCAGAAGCACAAGAAACCTCCACTGTCACCCGAGCTAATGAACTGCCCGTCTGGACTGATCGCCACGTCTGGTGCATATCCAGCCACATTGTGCCCTCTGTAACTCTTCTTTCGGTTCTGTCGGAAGCGGTCGGTAGAGCTGTATACGGTGATCTGGTTGTCGGACGATTGGAAGGCAACGTATTTGCCTGACGGGTGGGGTGAGGAGCGGACCATGGAGAACATGTAGGGTTCGGCGATGAACTTGATAGGTACGGGAATGCCGTATTCCCACGCGCGTAGGGACTTGTCGTCTGATGTGGTGATGAAGCGGCGGTTCTCGTCGCAGAAGGTGATTGTGTTGACAGGCCCCAGATGGTGGTCGTATTCCTGTACCATCTCTCCGCTCCTTGTGTCGTATTGCATGATCTTCTTGTCGCTCATACCGGCCAAGAACTCGTGTGGTGTACTGGGGTTGATGCGCACCACGTGCGGTGTCTTGCCAGTTGTGAACTTGTTCAGGCACTTTCCTGTCTCTGTGTCCCATAGCTTCATGAAGCGATCGTAACTAGCTGATATGAACTGTGTGCCGCTGGGGTTGAAGTCGATGTCGACAACCGACTTTGTATGCCCAGAGTATGTTCGCAGGAGCTCGCGTTGGTGATAGACGTCCCATAGCGCAATCTTCGAATCGGCGGATGCGGAAAGTAGGAGATGTCCGCTGTCAGGCATGAAGCGAACCTGGGTAATCGACTTGGTGTGGTATTTGTAGGTGTGGATCAGCTTCTTCGGTATGAAGTTCTTGGGCTCGTAATCGCCGGTGAGCTTGATGTCGAGATCTGTGGGCACATGCATGTACGTCCGGCCCTGGTAGTCGTACTGCTGGCTGCCTACAAACTCGCTCGTCTCGCCCTCGGCTTCGGTATCGCGGTAGTCTGTGCCAGCGAGCTTCTTTTGCGCGGGCGCAGCGTTGTCGACAATCTCGTCTTCCTCGTAAACTATTTCCACCTCAACGTCCGACCCGAACTCATCGTCTGAGGCAGCATCTGGCCTCTCTTCCTCATACTTCGCCCATGGTCCCTTGTATGCGCCTGCGCCAGTCACGACACTCGAATCGCCCTTGCCTTCTCGCTTTCTTTTCTTCGACCCTGCGCCGCTCTCGATGGCGCGCTGACCCTGGCGGAAGGTGTGGTCGCTGATGTACGTCTCTGCAGCGAACCCAGTTGGCACCCTGCCCGAGCCTCCGGCGGGCATTCTCGCTGTTATGAGGATTGGTTGTGGGTCGCGTAGTGGGCGGGAACTGGCGACGGTGTCGATATTAGGGTTCGGCAAGGCTAGAAGGTGGATGGCGCAGAGTGTCGGACGCGAAGTTGTAGATGGAAGCTTCCCAGCTCACCAGAAAATGTGGGTGGCTGAGCACGGACCACAACCCGACTATGCATTGCGTAGTTACATGTGAAAACTATGGTGCATTTACACGAGGCTAACATAACGCTATCATACCCCATAACTCGTTTAATCCCTCCTGGGTGAATTCCCAACCCCAAACCTGTCGCTCCAGGTATCCCGCATTATCCTAAACCAACAATCAGTCCTCCCGCTAGCAATATGCGCACGCGTGGCTCGCTTCCCCGAGCCGGATATCAAGTGTATCTATCCGTTAATCTTTAGCCGTCCCTGGACTTGCTCTTCGTAGCCCACCGTAATCAGTACAGCCGCGAATATAGCTACGACCAAGACGATGGGCGCAGTCTCCACCTAGTGAGACTCGTCGCGGATGAGGGCGACGATCATGCTGTAGAGGTAGAAGAAGAACATGAGCAGATGGAAACCCAGCTTGATGAAGGATTCCTGTGTGGCTGTTAGCCTATCGCCATATACTCGGTATCCTCTCATCGTACCTTCTTGTGCACATTGAGCTTCCTGAAGATCTCCGTTGCGTCCAACAAATGCTGGTTCTCAAAGATCCTGGGACTGTCAGCATTGTCCTTATTCCTTGGTATAGTCCGGCCCTGCTACGTACTTCTTTCCGTTCCATGCCAACAGAGGTAGGTTCAGGATCAATGCGATCCAGTATCCGTTGATGAGGAATAGGAAGGTCAGGAAAGCGTGAACGGCGGCCTCGGGGATGATGTAGGTGTTCAGGCGGTTGCAGAGATCGATGGGGTTGATGTAGTCACTGGCGCAAAATTAGCATGTGCCGATCAAGGTACGGGCCGTATCGCGTAGATTGCTACGATATGGCATTGTATGCCTGGGGTCGACTTACCATTCCAGATCGCTGTACATGATAGTAAAGAAGACTTGTAGGAACAGATTGACGGCATTTATCAGCACCGCCAACAGGTACAACCATGCTTCGCCAGTCATTGTGGGAGTGTCGTGTGCTGCGTAGCACGGCTTTGGCGTATAGAAGGTTTAAAATAGACTAGCGATGTCGCCAGTAGACACCTGAATACGAATGGACAGGTGGTCGACAGAGGTTCAGCACTCGGATGCGGTCGTGTGTTTGCAGGCTGCCGAGCTAGAACGCGGGAAGCTAGCTCGTGCGCGGGGCCTGGCTAGAGGTTGTGATGACGTGGGTGAGCGGTGGGGTTACACGACGGTGATGCGACGGTAGAGTCTTGAGTAATAACGTCGATTGCGAGGTCGCTCAAATTCTGGCGGGCGTTGGGCAGAGATGTTTGGATGACGTTGAGGCGGAGACACGAGTTGCTTCCCTGGACGGCGGGCAGGCACCACCACTAGCGTCATTCGCCTCGCTTGCAGGTGTGCGTTGAGCGGGCCAACACCGTCCGACCGAAGCTTGACCGAAGGTTGGTGATCTCACAGACGGCCGGATTGTTTCGTCGAAACGAAACTAGGTGTGCAAGATATGGCTGCCAACAACATGAACATAACTACAAGCCGCCATCACGCGAATGCTGATGAACCTCAAAGGCCTCGTGCTCTCGAACCACGCTATGCGTAGTCTAAGAAAGTATCGTATAGCTATGTTATCCCCAAGTGTTCAATCATCCTCAAGCAGCTGCCTTCGCTTCGCCATTCGTTTCACCGTTTGTGGCTCCCGGCATCGATACCGGACCACCTGGCGAATCTGGCAGTCTTGCAGTCAAGACCTCCACGCCATCCTCTGTTACGAGTAGTGTGTGTTCTGTAGCGTGTTAGTCATGAGTGGACACATTGATGCATCTGCGGGGCTTACCAAATTGCGCTGTCAGAGAGCCATCCTGCGTGACACTCGTCCACTCATCTGGCCATGTCTTGTCCCTATGCGAACCAACACTAATCATAGGCTCGATGGTGAAGCACATGCCGGGCTTTGCCGATCCAACTGCCTTGTTCTTCGCGTAGTGAGGAACATTGGGTGCGCAATGGAAGAGCTGGTTGACGCCGTGCCCGCAGTATGTCCTGATGACGCTGCAGTTCTTGCTCTTTGCGTGCTTCTCGATGACGTTTCCGTATTCACGGAACAGTGTGCCTGGCTTGACGATCTCGATGGCCTTTTGTAAGCACTCTCGCGCTGTCTCGGTGACGCGTACAGCATCGGGGTTTGCCAAAGCCTTGTCTCCAACGTAGAACGTCTCGTTCAGATCCGCGTGAAAACCGCCATGGTAGACGGAGATATCGATGTTCAGAATGTCGCCGTCTTTGAGTACTCGTTGGTCAGGGATGCCGTGGCAAATGACCTCGTTCAGCGACGTGCATACGGACTTGGGGAAGTGGCAGTAGTTGAGGGGCGATGGGTAAGACTATTGCGGTTAACAAGACTTTCTGATTCCCTGACATTGTCGCTCTTACATCACGCTCGACAGTAGCCTTATGTACGAGCTCGTCGATGTAGTCAGTGGTGACACCAGGCACTGCGGCTCTTCCTGCAATGTCCAGAATCTCGCGCCCGTACCGACACACCTTGCGCATCGCATCTTGCTCCTCCTTATTCAGAATCGTGATCTTGTTCCTGTTGACAAACACCTGCTCCGAGCGCGGTATGCCGTCCTTCGCGTAGTCTGGGTGTCTTATGTGCTTCGGGACTTCGCGTCGCGGCGAGAGCGGGTATACGGGTCTGAGGGCGCCGGTGTACGAGTAGGTAGGGAACGGGTTGTAGTGGCCAGTGGCTGGATCCGGGTGAGAAACAACTTTCGGCGTAAAGATACTTTGGAGAATACTACTTTGTGATTTATGCTCCTTCTTGTGCTCAGCCTAGAGGGCCGTTAGATTGTTTTGTCTGCAGTGTAAGAGCAGTCTCACTATGTACCCAGTTGCGCTTGAAACAATCCTGCGAGCAGAAGTAGTTCTCTTTTCCGAGCTTCTGGCAGTTCGGACATTGGAGAGAACTCGCATCGTTCTCGCAGTCTTTGCCTGCGCACTTGCGCGGGGCGTCTGTGGCCATCGCGTGCGGTGGTATAGGGCGTGTAGAGGGTGTGGTCGAGGCGGAGGTGGCCTGGTATTCACGTGCACTCGACTGTACAGCGCGCAAGGAACCTATATGTGCGAGGCAACGGTTTGCGCACGGAGGAAGTGGTGAACTGCGACTTTCGTTCGTCCCACGGCATCGTCAAGTCGGAATTCGTGCAGGGGTCCAGGCCGCCGGCCGCCGATCACCGATTACTAAGTAGCCAACTTGAACCAGAGCTCGCGCTTACCCGTTCCAGTCTTGACGTGCATCATCTGCCCTACTTTGCCATCATATCTGACTCTTTGGATCCCTGGTAATGGTTTGATAATTTTCACCCGTGTCTCGCGTTTCCCTCGTTTGCGGACGATGTATTTCCACCCTTCTTTCTTTCTTCCTCCTCTTGCTCTCCAACTCACACCACGCCGCTTCTGAGCACAGACCAGTGAACCAACCATCTTTTTACTCCAACTTTTCCCCACTACCTCCTTACCACCATGACTCAGAAAGTAGTTGTGGTCGGAGCCGGGCCAGTAGGCTCCTTGGCCGCGCTTTATGCAGCTGTACGCGGGTTTGAAGTGGATGTCTACGAGCTAAGAGCAGGTGAGATAATGATCTGTAAACCATCTCGGTGCTAGCGAGTGACCTAACGCTAGCCAGATCTTCGAGACCCAAACACCACACCGTTAAACTTCTCCAAGTCTATCAATCTTGCTCTGTCAGAGCGAGGTATCCACTCCCTTCGCAAGACCGGACTATCCGATCTGGCAGATGCAGTCCTGGCAGAGACGTTCCCCATGCATGGTCGCATGATCCATATCAGGAAGAATGGCGAGTATGTTCGACAGCCACAGATCTATGATGCGAGAGGGAGAGTAAGTACAGTGTGGTCGCATGCTATTGATCTCATGCTAATTTGGGTAGAGTTTGTTGGCTATGGATCGGACAGGTTTGAACAAGACCTTGCTTGACCATCTAGAGGCCATGCCTAACGTCAAGCTCATGTTCAATCACAAGTTGGTAGGTGCAGACTTCCGGAAGAAGACCGCGTGGTTTGAGCATCGTACCAAGTCTCCCGAAGAACAGGGCGACGAGTTCGAAATCAACTTCGATCTCATGATCGGTGCCGACGGTGCACACTCGGCGGTGCGATATCACTTGATGAAGTTTGTGCCCATGTCGTTTCAGCAAGAGTACATCGACAAACTCTGGTGCCAGTTCAATGTTCCAGCCACACCGGACGGCGAATTCCGAATACCTCCAAACTACCTACACATCTGGCCCCAGGACGAATCTATGTTCATCGCTCTCCCAAACCTAGACAAGACTTTTACATCAACGCTTTTCTTGACCAGGGAAGGCTTTGACCAATTGGACGCGTCTGGAAAAGTAGTCGAGTACTTCAATGAGAAGTTCCCCGGCGTGGTTCCTGAACTCATCACCGAAGACGATCTCCGCAAGCAGTACACATCTAATCAGCACCTGCCCTTGATATCGATCAAGTGTACTCCATATCACTACGGAGATTCTGGCGTTATCTTAGGAGATGCGGCCCATGCCATGGTACCATTCTACGGCCAAGGAATGAATGCTGGACTGGAAGACGTCCGCGTTCTTTTCGATTTCATCGACAGGTATCCCAACGATCGATCAAAGGCACTAGACGAATACACCAAGGAGCGCACTCCTGACGCACACACCATCAACGATCTTGCCGACGGGAACTATCGCGAGATGGCAAGCGACGTCAAGAAGCCTCTATATCTACTGCGGAAGTGGGTGGAGGAGCAACTCTATATCTACGTTCCGAGCATTGGCTGGGCCACACAGTATTCACGAGTCACATTCAGCAACATGCGATACTCCGAGGTTCGGCAAGCGGCACAGAGGCAGGCCAAGATCCTCAACGGCGTGGCCGGTCTGGTGCTGGCTTCTGTTGCTGGTACCGCTTTCTGGTTCGCGCGATCTGGTGGCGCACAACACGCGAAAATGGGCATCATGAGATCGATCTGCGTCGTTGCGCAGAAGATGCAGAAGCTCACGGAAGGTTGAGCAGTACTTACCATGGTAACATCATGAACCAAAATTCATGCACGAGCTGTAACAACACATGTTTCTATTATGCTGTATCCTGTTATCGAGACTAACGATCATCAACACCGTGTATATAACGATATTGCGCAAGCGATACACGTCATCATTCCTCGCAGAACCTCTCCGACGTTTTCAGGATTTTAGCTCACTTCATAGACCCCAATGCCGGCGGGTTCAACACCAGGAAGAAAGATGTCAGGGCGAAGCGTTGATGGACCGACGGCGACTGCTTTGTTCACATCTTTGTATGATACAAAGCGAACATCAATCTCGACAACCCCTCGCCATTTACGAGGGTCTCATAGTATGACGGGCTTGGCCGCGCCACACGCGACTAGCCACGTGAACTCCGCGTGGATGTCTTGCCCCACAAGCGAGATGTGGGGAAGCGATTCGGAGCGAGATGCATACAGTGGCGCTCGCTTGTAGTACCATCCGCCTTCGACATGTTACATCTGGGGTACATCCTGTCAATACGACTCGACATCACGATAATCTCGCTTGCGCATATCCGTGAGCAGTGCTATTGTCTTTCAGCCTTTGCAACGCAATTGATCATCGCTTTCTTCGATTTGCATTTCCGCTCCCTGCTAATCCAGGGACGTAGACATCGCCATAATCGTATCCATGCTTCCGGGGGCGTGGCAACATATCTCCACTTGATCGATACACAAAGCCATCTATCCTCACTATACACACTATGCGGGTAAATACACGAGCCTCTCACAGCCAACACAGCGCCATCCTTCCTCCCTTTGCGACCTTCCACAAACAGCATATCTTCCGTATTCGCATGGTCACAGCCACCAAAGAGAGTTCGAGGCTAGCTTGGAGTAGTAATCGGAGGCATTCCTGTGGATGTTGACCCACATTCCAGAAGCCTTTGAACCTCACATCCGGGTTGTGATGAAGTCAGTCACGCGTGGCAGTAAGGTCTCAACCTGGATAAGACAAGTTCTATTCTAGTCTATCTTGCACGCGTGCTTGTATATCGCCGCTTTGTACTTTACACTGTGGGCCTCGAGTGGATGGATCTCAGGCGCGGCATCTTGGCGAGTGTGTATTGGTTTTATTAAGGTATCTTGTTTCTCCAGGACTTCCTTGTCACACGTAGAGTATTTTTCGTTCCTTTTTTACCTTCAAATTCTGTATGCCTTGCGATAGCGCTGCTAGACAACTACGCGTAGCCTCAAAGATTGACGATTGATCAAGATGCGCTTTGCCTTCAGTCTTGCGGCTCTAGCTAGCCTCGGTGAGTATCGCAATTGAACACGGATGATGCTTTCAACTAACAGTTTCTAGCTCAAGCATGGCCTACGTCAGAAACACAACACCTCGCGCCTCGCGCCGTGAGCTACGTAGACTCAGAAACTGGCTTCACCTTCTCTGAGACCAAAGCGGCCGCGACACTTTCAGCGAACATTATCTACCGCATAGCGCAACCCGCCAATGTGCCAGCGGGCCAACCATACGACATTGTTCTTCAAGTCGTCGCGCCCAACGTCCTCGGCTGGGTTGGTCTCGCCTGGGGCGGTAGCATGATCCGCAACCCTCTCACTGTAGCATACCCTAACGGCCAGAAACCAACCGTATCTTCACGGTGGGCCACGTAAGTCGTACCACCCAAGTGGCAACCGCGAAAATACTAACACCCACCGTAGTGGCCACTCTACACCCCAACAATACACCTCAGCAACCTACACGCCCCTCACAACCGGCAACAAATCCAACAATACGCATTGGCAATTCACCGTAAAATGCACCGGCTGCACAACTTACACCGGTTCCTCCGGTGCCGTGCGCATCGATCCCAACAGCAGCAGCAAGCGCTTTGGTTTCGCGTGCTCGCAGAGCAAAGTGTCGAACCCGTCTTCGACCAGCGCATCGATTCCTGTGCATGATGTGTATAACTACATCACGCATGACTTTACTGCGGGTGCGAATCAGAACTTTGAGGCACTGCTGAGTCGAAACGGGGTTGCGAGTTCGGGTGGCATGGGGAATGCTACGGTGATGGTGTAGAGGCGATGTAGGGAGAAGGTGGTGGCCTTGGGAGAGGGCTTGTAGATAGCGTCGGAGATTTCGTGGAGTACATACTTTAGAACGGTAGAATTTCGTCTCTCCTCGAGAATTGTGGGTGCTGCTGTGTGCATATGTCTAGAGGCTCGCGAAGCGATCAACGAGGTAGTGACACGGCGTACGACCCCAACTCTACACACGAAAAGGCAAGGCCGTGATTTTAGTGTCTTCAGTGCTCGAAGATAAGCTGGCAGTGTCACACCGATCATGATACTTCCTGTCACTTATGACAAAGCGGAAGATAATGGGTAGAGAGTTGCGGCCAGTCTTGATCAACTGGTAGCATCATGAACGGGTTGCATGTCGAAAAGCATGATATTCGCCACGTAACGTGCGCGTGAATTCTCTTCTGCGATCTAAAAGATTATACGACGCAATGCCAAACGAGTGCTAAGCTAAGGGCACCACACCTAACAACTCTGACTAACGAAGGGCCTATCAACAGCCACTGTGCGACACTAGCTATGATAGCCATACGGCGGCAGCCAGCGTCTATGCCTTGATGGCCATGTCACCGAGCGGCATCTCCTTGAGCCCTATTTTTTACATGTTAGTTACATGTCGCACGGTTGTATAGCGAACAAGTGAAACTTACAGCCGTCAACATCCTCGGGAGCTTGCTGCTTCTTCTTGCAAGTATTGTACTGCGCAGGCTGCTGAACGGTAAGGCCGGCCTTGGGGCAGGCGGTGTTGAGGTTGCAGTTGTTGTCCATGGCCTTTTGGAGGGAGTCGCCTTCCCAACCGAAGACGTAGTCACCATGCGCGGCAGAGCCACTGAAGGGAGAAGTCAGCGATGTGTTCGTCTACTGACAAAAAGCTTGTATAGAGTGGGCTGAAGGACTTACCCGATGTTCATGCTGTACACGAATGGGTCGCTGCCGTCGGTGGGCCACAAGCTCTTGTCGGCGAACTTGTTGACATCCCACATGAGCTCGTACATGATCTGAGGGAGCTTGACGGGATGGGTAGAAGGGCAAGCGCCGCCACCATTAGCACCAGCGCCCTGGCCATAAGCGACGTGTGCCTGATGATCTGGGGAGTCGAGGTTCTTGCCGTCCCAGCAGGTGGGGAAGATAATGGTCTGACGGATGAGCTTGCACTTGGGGTCTTTGGGGATGGCGACAGTATCGGAGCCTGAGCAAGGCGCACCGCCAACGAAGGTACTCTCCGAGGGAGAAGTCCAGCAGCGGTGGCAGATGTTAGAGAGTTTGACCTTGCTGGGGTCGGTGTTGGTGGCTGAGCCTGCGAGCATGCGGAAGCCCTTCTTGAAGGCAGTGGTCTTGCCGCTGGGGATGTAGTAGACGTCGAGACCGCCGTCATTGATGAGCTTTCCTTGTGGTCCACCGTTTCCGATCTTGGCTTGGGGTTAGTGACTTTCTCGATTGTGATGCGTTAGCTAAGAGGTTACATACCTGAGGCACGCGAATGTAGCTAGAAGGAGGTCAGCGCATGTTTCACACTCAATGTATACGTAGTGTTATAGGTACTCACGTTCCGTTCTTTGCCTTGAAGAACATGACGGCGGTCCAGTAGTTTGACTTATCCTGGACGAAGCTGCAGGAAGTGCACTTAGACATCTGCGCGATATCGTTTGAAGGGTCCATCGTGATGTTGAAAGCGTCACCCCCGACGATCTGATGAAGATGCGGAGTGTACTTGACGCCCGGGTTGACGAGGGGATCTGTTCGCTCGACGACAAGCTGTGAGCAAGCAAATCGCAGCATGTTCTGCGCAGTGGCATGGCCTGCAAGGGCCGTGGCCGCAGCGAGGAGGGTAGCCCACTGCATCGTGACTAGTGATCGTGATATAGTCTTTGACTCTCGGAAATGTGCGTGATGCTGGAGAAAATGAGTGATGATGAATGTAGAGGCACAAATCTCGAGGCTTCAACCATGTCTCCTAATAACCTCTCTTATAACGAGACCGCCGAAGAATTCGCCTGATTAGTGATGTCCACGAGGACAACTGCCGGACCACGGGGAAATCCTGATCGATCGTTGCTGCAAAATATGGGGTTAATCTAAGGTGGTATAATGATTGGGTTAGAGAGCTTTACTGCTCAAATTGTCTACCCACTTCGTATGACGACCCAAAGAATGGTGAACTCTGGAATGTGCACTGAAAAGGTCATTACAGCTTATCACGGCCGCTGTCGAATCAGGCTGCGGGTCTGACCATGGACAAGCCCGGAGGTGCGGATGCAACCTCTTGGTTTGCCGCCCAAGATATTGTGCCCGTGACATTGGAGGTAAAGCGCCCATATGCTGCATGCTCCAAGACACTTGGCTTCTACCTGTATGATATGTATGCTAGCAGTGTAGTGAGCGCTGAGCCCCTTTCGCTGACTGGAGCTATCAAATTCGGGAAAGTGTGATGCCATCTCTAGGTAAAGTTTGGAGGAGGTCCCAGGAATTCTAGGGCCGTAGAGCGCGCCTAATTGTGAATATCATCGCTGTCAGCTTATCCTCGCTATCGGCGTGAAATCGTGCTTCTCAAACTCAACGCCAGAGTCTCAAGCATTGCAATTAGAGAAGGCTCAGACGTGGGATGATCATCAGCATCATCGCTCAAATAACGAACTCACTCAGCCAGCCGCTGTTTGGCCAGACCGCCTACATGGAAGGCACGCTCTGCAAGCTCCGCAGCTTTAAGCCCTTATGAGGGATTGCCGCTAAGTTCGCGGTGAGGCTGTCCAAAACAGGGAAGGATTTGGAACCCCACGTTGATGAAGCTGGGTCGTGTGGGACGCGCTTTTGGGCCTCATGGCAGCTTTGGTGGGTCATCGATGCCAATGTGGTGAAGAGGCGTAGCGATGGGCTCGAGAGGCTGAGCCTTACCCAGCATGATCTGATGCTCGGGTTGAACATCCTAAATGCCATCAACTCAGAAGCATGCGGCAGGCCACTGATCCCGCTGCTAGCACCTCTGTACTGGACTAGATCGTGTGATCAGAGCATGCATCAATGCGTGACGTAAGAGGTCTTTGAACTGATCTGTATTGAGATGCAAGATGTTTCAGACAGCTTGAATCGCATCGGCGGTCTCAAGTGGCGCGGCATCGCTGGCTTGCGGATGGATGAGGTCGTCGAAGCAAGGTTTGGCGAAGTCTGCGGGGCGCTTTCGCTTGGCGCTTTGCTACGGAGCAGGCACCAACGCTTTCCTCGTCGCGTGGAAAATCATCCGCAGACACCATACTATCCCTCTTCCATCGCTATACTCATCTATCATTTGTCACACACATATCGAAATATGGAACGGCCACCTTTAGCCGCGCTGCATGTGGCCAAGTCTGGATCTGCAGTCTTCCTTTATGAGAAACTTGATATTGCAAGGTGATACGATTGGTGCCAGCTGACTTCTACCCCTTGCTCTCAATAACCGGCATTTCACCGTTGAGCCACGAGATTCCCCGTTGCGCAAGGCGCATTAAAGTCCGTGTGGGGTATCGCATGGGAAATTGCCGATGGCCGGGGTCGTGCATCTACAGATATTGCGGCTGAAGTGGCAAGTGGCACACTGCATTGTGGGACAGTCGAACATGTGGAAAAGAGGTGTGGCTCTGGATCATATTGCTGATGAATAGAAAGAAAACGTTGGGCTCTGTCTGCTTGCAGACTGGATGCGTGTATGCAAATTCATACGACACCCCCATCTAATCGACACCGATATGACAAGCCTTCTCAGCTACGCTACTGTTGCACTTGGGCCAACGGCTTCTGAACTGAATGGCCCCTTTGAACTAAGAAAACAGGCCAAGGAAGTAGTCTCCTCGGATGGAAGGAAAGAGCATCACCAAGCAATCTTGGCGAGCAAGCCGTTGGGCCAAGTGCGCACACAGTACTTCCTTGACTCATCGAGGACGAGCAAGCCCATACCGAAAGCAGCCGGAAGGAACCAGTGCTCAACCGAGACAGTCCTGGTGTCAATCGTGTCTTGGAGGGCTGGAATGTAACAGAAGATGAAGACCACAACGATGGCGAAGATCATTGCAGGGAAGAGCGACCAGTTCTGAGTAGCCTTGTTGAAGATAGGCGGTTGCTGGAAGATGCTGAGTCTACGGGTGCGAGTAGCAAGTAGGTTGAACAATTGCCTGTCGTCAATGTCAGCTAGTTACTCAGTACACTTCCACATCTATACTTACATGATCACTAGTGTGACGAAGTAGATACTCGAAGCTTCGTTGGCGACTTCGGTAACGAATTCCGGGTCGTATTGAGGATCGTAAACACCAAACTTCAACCACATTGCCGTGAACGGAACTCCTCTGCGCTGCATCCACCAGAAGCTCATGGTGAAGGCGAGAAAGCACTGCAGAAGACCGACAACGAAGTAGGCATGGAAGATGAGTCGAGCGTTGACCAGCCTGTCCTTCTTAGGGTTACGAGGAGGGCGAAGCATCACATCGGCCTCTGGCTTCTCGTAGGCAAGCGTGATGGCGGCGGCACAGTCGGTAAGACAACAAATGATGATCTAGAAAAGGTTAGCTGACGGACGCAGTGCATTGAGATCAGATGTGCTTACCATAAGGAAGGACGACAGGATCTGCGGGATACCGAATGCGACGTTCGTGACGACGGGCCACAGCTCACTGAAGCTACCGGCGGGAAGTAGGTATACGATCGTCTTCTTCAAGTTATCGTAGACCAGTCGACCGTACTGAACAGCCTCAATGATGGCGGCGAACGAATCAAGAAGAACCATGTCGGCAGCCTCGATGGCAATGTCGGAGCCACTGCCCATAGCGATTCCAATGTCGGCAGCCTTGAGCGATGGCGCATCGTTGACACCATCACCTGTCATACCGACAATGTTGTCGTGGGCCTGGAATTCCTTGACGATACGAAGCTTCTGCTCAGGCGTCGTCCTAGCGAACACAATTTCCTGGTACTGGCAAAGCTGATCCCATTGCGCCGCGTTCAATGTAATCAGTTCGGGCCCACTCAACACGATTGACTGCTTCGTAGTCCCGATCTTGCCTTCGCGGCCAAGAGCGCTGATATCGTCGACCAAAGCAGAGTTCGAGATGATACCACACTCTTCAGCGATGGCCTGAGCCGTGAGCTTGAAGTCGCCAGTGACCATGAAGATGCGGATAGAAGCTCCCCGAAGAATACGAACGACGTCTGGAATCTCATCGCGGGGTGGGTCCACGATGCCTACGATGCCGACGAACGTAAGGCCTTCCCGGGCTGCAACCAATACTTCCTTCTCATGGTTGGCGGAGAAGGGTACGATAGTCGGCTTGCGAGCGAGCAGTATGACGCGCTTTCCCTGGCGAGACCAGCTGTCTTTGACGGTGTCGATACGAAGGCGTTGTGCGTCGGTAAGCGGTATCTCTTCACCCTTCTCGTTCAGGATGAGATCGCATCGAGGTAGGAGGATGTCGGGAGCTCCCTTGATCATGAGAGTGGCATTATTGCTCGTCGGTGTCTGGTTCGCCGGTGTCATCAAGCGGACCATGAACTTGTTCTTGCTGTTGAAGGCAATTTCGAAGACCTTCTTCCAGTCGCGACGCAACTCAGCCACTGACCCAAGAGACTCGGAAAGTCGAAGTATAGCCTGATCAGTCGCATCGCCATTGATCTTGCGCTCCGCAATGGGGAGATGCATAGTAGCGGCATCGAATTCACCGGAATTACAGAGACCACCGAGCATGCGGACTTGATCCATGATGTTTGTCTTGGCCTTGGAAAGCACAGTGAGATTCTGTTCCGAACGAAAGACTGCCATCATATCACGCGCCGCATCCGTAGTGTACTCTTCACCTGCTGCATAGATGTCCGTGACGACCATTTTGTTCTTGGTCAACGTTCCGGTCTTGTCGGAACAGATCACCGAAACGGAACCAAGTGTCTCAACGGTCTTGAGGGACTTGCAAAGTATCTTGTTCTTGCGCATGATGTTCGCGACGATGGTCAAGCTCGTGGTAAGTGCGATCGGTAAGCCTTCGGGGATGACTAGAGAAAGAAGGAGAAGTTAGCATCTGTACATGAAAAAGACATTGTTTGGTAGCCCATACATGCAACAGCGCACGAGACGCAACTGACGATAAGAAGGGGTACGTCAATCCAAGTAGGATGAGATTTCCTCAGCCATGCAGCCCTGAGATGCGTAAGTACAAATCCTTCAACTCATAGATAGCCAAGCATAAACATGTTGCTCGAGACCAGCCACAAACATACCAAAGAACCACGATGAGGATAACAACGCATGTGATGAAGAGTGAGATGATGAGCACGAAGCGTAGGATCTCCTTCTGAAGAGGAGTCATGCCAGTCTTGGGATCCGAGGTAAGCTTTGCGATACGACCGAAGATAGTGTTGTCGCCAGTTGCAACGCACACGCCGAGACATGCGCCTGAGATGCAATGGGTGCCTTGCAATCCGATGTTGTTGGTCTCGAGATAGTTGTCTTCGGTTGCTTCGATGGTAGCTGCGACGGGCTCGGACTCGCCTGGTATATGTCAGTCCTCGTGCTTAAGTGATGTGTGTTGGTTTTACGTACCAGTAAGAATTGCGCGATCAAACATGGAATCGCTGGATATATCGACGAATCGAACATCGGCGGGTAGCTTGTTGCCCTGCTTGATGACGATAATGTCGCCAGGAACTAAGTCCAAGGCCGAGATACTGACGTGCGACCCGTTGCGCACGACAATGCACTGATCAGGCAGCATCGTTCCAATGGATGCCATCACTCTGCTGGTTGACCAGTCCTGCCATGCGTTGAAGGCAGCCTGGATGAGCCAAACAGCGATCAGTACACAAGCAAGCGCCAGGTTTGCAACCGCTGGCGGTTTACCAAGAGGCTTCCATGCGACGAACACCAGTATGCTAGCAACCACAAGGATGCTACCAAAACCACCAAAGAAGTAGCCTATTATCTTCTTTAGTAGCCCTGATGGGGGAGGTGTCATCTTGTTCTGGCCGTGTTCGCTAATGCGACGCTTGGCCTGATCGTCAGAAAGGCCCTGGTCGATGTCGACGGAGAGGCGGCGACACAGCTCATGAACGGCAAGTGTATGCCATTCGAGGTCTGCCAGGTCTGTAGAGGTGAAGTCAGTGGATGTGGCTGTGATTTACGGCCAAGAAACTCACCAACGGCGGCTTTCTCCTTCGCTCTCTTCACCTCATCCTGCTTCTTGTGTTGATCCTCGTCGATCTCGATGGAAAGAGTACGATCTGAATGTTCGTATCAGGAGTCAGTGGATGTCTCACAAGCAAGTCATAGGAGGCAGCTACTCACAGGTGATGGGGAGTGCAGTCTCTGGCTGTACAGTGCGCGCTCCTCCGGCACTGCGAATGGAAAGGCTGCCCACACTTGATCGTCGTGATAGATTGCGCTCATGGCGACGCTCGTGGGTCGCGTATCCATCTTCTTCGTCGGGAAGGCGCAGCTCTCCGAAACGGACGCGAGGAGCGACCTTTTCTTCCTGGTCCATGTGCGAACCTGTGGAAAGCACAGATTGATACCGCGGGAACTACGTCCGAGAATGTGCAAAAAAGATGCGAATGAGCCGAGAAGTACGAGGAGAGGTAGCACAAGATTGAGCGATGCGTGAAGCGCGACTTATACCCCGAGAAAAGCGAAAGCTATCCGCCGCCTTTACGAGCAGCGTGCCTTCGAAAGCTCTAGCAGCGCGTCAAACACGTGCTTGGGTGGCCTTGGTAGGATTTCCATACCGTAAAAGCTCCATCGTAATCACAGCTACGTAGTATGACACCAAGAGTGTGGTACAAGGTCCTCCTCGTCTTTGTCATAGTCAACTTGAAGCGATTCGACGCACAAATACCTCATACAATCCAACACGGGGCCAGGGTCCTGCAACAGGTAAACCGTAAGCGTCGGAGGTATCCCGTCGGACCTTTTCCCATGCGTTCAAGAATTGCCATTGGCGACTGCGTTTGTCTGAGCTGTTGGCGGTTAGCCATGAGCGATTTTCGAAGAACTACACAGCCACGCTACGGCACGCGAAATCAAGCTTCTGCGAGCTCAGCCTATAGTGATGCGCGATTTTCGACCTCACATCCTACCATGGATCTGGTCATCACGTTCAAAAGAAATGAACATGGCTTGACTGGCGTTGCAACGATGCCTCGGTGTTCAGCAGCTGCCTGTTGAAGCATCCCGGGTTCATAGGCGATCTTGGACCCTGCCGGCACTTTCATTGTCTACGATGGGATCGCACCGCGTCGCATCAGATGTTACTTGCATGAGCATCTGGTGTGTGCTCTGGCAGATGCTGGTAACAGCGTTGGGGAAGAGTGGCTATATGCATGCCATCCACGCGCGTGCCACTGCGAGGTTCGGGCCTGTATCGTGGGGTTTGCGTGCAGAACATCAACTGGACCTGCGGCAGGCGGCGCGTTAAGGTAATGGTCGATAACGAGATGCCCCTCGACACATGTGCAGCATATGAGCTCCGTTGGGGTGGCAAGGTGGTGATGATGGCCGCTCAGCGAAAGGGGCAGCTTCCAAAGTTGTGTCTGTGCGCGATGGAGCTTCCCAAGCCAAGAGATGCCCAGCACACGAAGCTTACCGCGTCGTGTTCCATCCCTTTCGCCATGAACACCCACGATAGCGATGGACTGCCACAGCAGCCTCCAACTACTCCAGCAGCACATGCACCAGAAAATGGAGAAGCAGACTATGCCATCGCCGCCTGGCGCCGATATGCTCACCTATACGCCCCCTTGATTGCTAGCCCTTTTGCTGTTTTCTTGTCACCAGTCATCGCTCAGGCCACTGGCTTTACGACCGGCGGGAACAGTCTGCCACTTGTAGTGTCTTTCGCCCTACCGACGTACCTCGTAGCATCCTCCCTCTACCCGTCGAACCGACCCGAACCTACTCCGAAGCAATCCATCCGATTCACACGCAAGAACGACCTCTACCGCGCAGGCGTTATCGCAACCTACGGGCGGCTATTCGGTACACCACCAAACGTCATACAATACTTAGTAGACATACTCGGCAGCTATGGCGCCGACCAATTGATTGGGGAACGTCCTGTGGGTACAACACAAAGGCGTTCGGAATTTCTGATCGCTCTGACGTGGATACTTGGTAGCTGGTTCGTCCGCTTCTTCGTATCCTTCGATACACCTATGTTGCAACAAGTCGTTCCTCTTGTCGATCGTACCCTCAATCTTACGGCATATGTTGCGTTGGTTGACGATGTGGTCGGTGTGTTGACGCGACCGAATCTTCGCACCCGGAAAGGAAAAGCCACCCTCATCGCGACCCAGGCGTTCACGATATCGGCGTGCGTGTTTCTGTTCATGAGATGGGCAAAGGGGTTAGCTGAAGGGGAAGTCAGTCCCTACACCGTATCAGCAACAGAGCTGTAACAATGGCTGCATCTCTAAGCTTTGTTAGCTTGGGACCTTTGACATAGATGTTACACCCAAAACGTATTGCACGGTGCGCGAGGAGCGCGATCTTGATGAGCACCAATATCACATCTTCTGACCCAATCTAGTGCGAAGTTAGGTAAGAGAAGTCTACTTCGGTACTATTTACAACGGACACCAATATATCATGTATCTTGCTCATACACCGCATCTCGTCTTCTGCTCGACGTACCACCATTAAGCACCTCATCGCTTAGCCCAATGTATATGAACGTCCTCAGGCTTGTTAATCTGCAGCGTCAACACCGGCTGACTGTCTTGTAACAAATGGAGCAAGCGCTGTCTCGCTAAATCTGTACTTTCCCCCTCACGAACAACTGGTAGCGCACTACATCTACGAAACAGCGTCGCAATAACCGCTACAAATTCTACCTGCGACATCTTCTGCCCAGGGCATACACGCGGACCGACAGACCAAGGCATAAAGGTTCCTTGCGCAGGTGTGATGAGCGTGGGCTCTGTTGTGTCGGGTTGTAGCCAGCGAGCGGGGTTGAAGGACAGGGCGTCAGAACCCCATGTTGAGCGTGAAGTATGCAATGCCGCTGTGTTGACGTAGATGGTGGATGGAGCGGCGATCTGGAATGACGTGTCTCCGAAGGCAAGGTTCTGACTCGTGGTTATGGATCGCATAAGGAGAGTTACGGGCGGGTAGAGGCGCAGGGTCTCGAGCTATATTGTGGAATCGTCAGCACCGAGCTCACGGAGTAGAGGCTAGGGAGCTAGCCGTCCTTGAAGAATGCCGTTCAAGGATGGCAGTATGTCGATATTGGGTAGCTTACCATAACAGCTAAACAGCGAACAAGTTTCGGGAATGCACTTGCATAGTCTATTGGCGACATATCAGGTCCTCCAAGCACAGTATCGATCTCGGTCTGGATCCAGGCTTGCCACTCCGGATACACTGCGAGCAGCGCGACGGCATAGGACATTGTGTTTGCGGTTGTGTCAAAGCCAGCAGCTGTGAAGATGAAGAGGTTTCCTGCGATTTCTTCCTCGGTGAGAAACTTCTTGGTAACCTTGTCCAACGAGTCTGGTGTTGAAGCGTCTGTGCGGGTTTTCTCCTGGTCCGAAAGGCGGACAAGTTCTTCCATGATGGTGCCTCGGCTGTTGTTTGGACTTTCGGTCGTCTGTGTAGAATGCGGCGACTTAGAAGCATTATTCTGGCGCTCCTCATTGAGCATATGTTGTGTTAGCCCCGGCAATCGCTTCAGTGCTGTACCTAATCGCTGTGATACCTGCGGCATGAAGGGCAAGCATAGAAAGCTGGCAGGAAGAAATGCAGCGTAGATGAGCTTGTCGGTGACCAAAGAAATAGCATCCACGTATGAAATGTCTGCTGACGGTTTGGTCGACGGTTGAGATAAAGCGAATGGCTTGTCATGCCCATACGCGATACGACCGAGGACGTTCATCGCGATCGTACGAAGACCAAGAACTATCTTGGCAGGTCCCTTGGCAGCATGAGGTGGGGAGACTGAGGGTAATAGGTCTGCCATGGACGATGCTTGTTCTACGCTCACTCTCCACACTTCTGGGCTAATGCGTTCGTTCAGAGCCGGGGCGACGATACGGCGCTGGCGGGACCAGGACTCATCTTTGGCCTTGGACCGATGCGTTAGTCACGATAAACAGCATGAGCGATCTACTTACAGTCACGATGTTTGGACCCAAGAACCCCATAGTCTCGGTGGTAATGTCTGGATGAACAAAGTCTCTCCTTCTAGACATGATGGTATGGGCCATGGACGGGTCCGCACAAACAAGCCGATTGAGTCCTGTAGTAACCACGACAAAGACATGCCCCAGCTTCTCGTGGATTGCTGCTTTTTCCCGGAATTCCCAGCCCCAGATGCTAAGCTCAACGGTAGCAAATATAGATTTGGGGAGGACAGAGCGAAGCATGGGGCGAAGAGGGACGCAGAATATGGACCAGAACGCCTAAATGTATGATCAGTTTCGAATAGCTATATCTGAAGAGACGGACACGGGTGTGCAGATTGCTTCAAGTAAATATTGTGACAGGAGGAGCGGTAACTTACGCTATCGGGGTCATAAGGGCATAAGATGATAGGCAGTCCAGTCGCGCGAGCTGCTCGATAGTTGTTGGTGAAGTACCATAGCTGGGAAGCAATGAATAGCGACGCTATTGTCACCACCCCAGTAATGAGATATGCCATGAGTTTGGAGATGCGTCGGGCGCAGTTTTCGATTTCGACCGTTGTCCTATTATGTTTAAAACATATCTTCCAACTATTTATCTGCGTAGGCTTGATTGTTTCTAGAGATGTTGTACCGGAAGCTTGGTTTCCGGGTCGTACGTTTAACTAGTGCCGGTCTTACTACTTTGTCTACCCACGTCCCCGCGGCCCACCAGAGCGACACAAGATGCTAGCACAGCGCATCGCTGGCATATCTGGTCGAGAAGCATCTCAAGAGCGATGAATCCTAGGTCTCGATAGCATGGCACGAAGCAAGAGTGTGATCCGCAGGTGGGCCGTTCACCAACCCCGACGCACCTTGCTGGGCAACAGTGTCATCTTCGCACAACGATGAGTCCTTTGTGGATTCTGGGCTGGGCATCCGCAACGTATGGCCGAGTAGCAATCTTGCAATCTTGGCGCAAACTTCTTTATCCAGGCCGATGATCTTCGCAAAGTTGTCACTGCCTCTTTCATGTGTGGCCTTGAAACATCGACTTCACGGTCGTCAGACGGCATGCAATACCTAGGTACCTGGGTGATTCGGACAATGTCTCAGTCTCGCCTCTCGCTCGCCAAAGAACAATCAAATTTCGGATATCGCAACGCAGAAAGCTTTGTACGAAGCGAACACGCTGTCCGGCTGATAGCGTGCTTGCGGCATCTGAACGGTGGCTTACGGTGTTTCGAAATGTCCGAATGTCCAGAGACGCACGACCCCACCAGCAGAACACCGGCTCCTTGTGCAACCGCGGTCCCGGGCGTGGGGACCTTCAGCAACATCGACCGCGAACGCCCAGTCAGCGAAACGCACAAGAGTGGCGGCACATTTCGAAGAAGATGGCAGGGGCAACGCGCGCCTGTTGCGCAATTTGGGCGGTCCAGCCGCGACATACATGCACTGAGAGGCTGCACGGCGAGGGTGAGGTTGAATTACAGGGTCCAATACCAGCTAACACCGTTGACTACGAGGCTGTTGCTAGCTTACATTCTCCGATCGATGTACTCAACAATTAGCTTCAGTAGGTGTACATGTCTTTGCCGCTATCTACAGACTTGCCCCTAGAGTTTTTAACCAATCCTAACTTCGTTGCTCGTACTCGCCCCTGGACTCACTATGCCGCGCTGATCACAGCCTCAGCTTCTTCAGTACCGTCGGTTCCATGCTCAGTGCTCTCGTCTTCTCCTTCCATGACCTTGTCATCTTTGAAGGCCTTCCTCCAGCGCTGTTCAGCTTTCTGCAAGCCCTGGGTAATCAGCACTGAAGGACACTCCGCTGTAGACCAATCCTCGGGTATGACGTAAATAATCTTCGCTGGCGCCTCATCGGGCATGTCGATGAGGTTTTGGAGCCACTTCTCCACATTGCGGTTTTCGGGGACGAAGACCTTGAGTCCGGCCGCTGACTTTCCATCTTCTCCGTTCTCAACAGGAATTGCGGATGCTGCCCAAGGTAGCTTGCGCCATCCTGGCCACACTTCTGGGCTGGTGAACGGGTTGATCTTCTCCTTGTTTGGCGAAATATTTCCGAGAACGTCCAACAACCCCATGCGGACGTTGATGACGAGCTTCTGGAGACGGGGGATCATAATCAAGGTGTTGATTATGCGCTCGAAATGCCATGCGTACTGTCCGGGAATCTCGCCGCAACCATTTGGGTAAAGCTCCATATCAACATTGATCTTGCGCATCAACTCCAGCGGGCGGGGACCGTATCGAGGAGTACCATCGTGCGCCTTCGGCCAAATCATGAGCTCAAGGAAGCGATGCGCTAGCTGGGTGCCATTTATGGAACTTCCTTCCTGAAAGTTATGATAGGGAAGACCCAAAATGCCATCCTTGATCTCAAAGTAGTTTTCGCCGTAGAACACGGGTTTGCTAATTTTGTGCATCTCTTTGTTGACTGCCAAAAGTGCTAGCATAATTTCAGGAGGCTCCATTGTCCAGTAGTAATGAGGTCCCGGGACTGCGGCGGCGTTGAAAGGAACCATGGACCTCGGCACCTTTACCTGTGACGAGAACTTGTATGTAGAATATGGCATGATCTCCGACGGGCTCAGATATTGATCCCACTGCTCTTCTGTCCAGTCTTCATTGGTGAAAGTGGTGGCTGCAATCCTGACTTTGGTCGGGAATTTCAGCACCAGTCGAACGACTTTTTCCTTGAGTTCTGCTGAAAGCGCGCTGAAGTAATCGCGTGCGGTGTCTGAAGATCGTGTGTCGAGGTTCGAGTTGGGTTGCTTGAGCTGTGTATTGTGGAAGGACGCAAAGACTTCGTTCTCCATGCCCGGGGGTAGTTTATAGACGCAGTGAGCCGGTCCAGTTCCTGCCTCTAGGCGACTATTCATCTCAATATCGAATTGATCAGCCCAATCAACATCGAATGAGCCATAATCGTAGTTGTAGCGCGTCTCGTCCTTTGGATCCTTCTCCTCTTCTGTCATCTCAGCGCCAACTCCGCGTGCCCAGACTGGCCAGAGGGTTTTGTTGTTTTTCTTGCTGTGGATGCTTGGCTCTGGTCGCAGCTGATCATGGCTCTCGGACGGGAACTTGACTTCGTATCGGGAACGCTCTTCAAGCAAGTACGCATCCATCTCCGTGATGATATCATTGGAGTAAGCCTCCATTGCTATTTGGGTTCGGAAATAACCTCGTTGAAAGTTGAGCAGTTCGGTAGCACGTTGGAATATCTCCGCTTTGGTCGCCTTCCGAGACTTAGACAGCAGGAGTGTAAGAGTGATCATTTCAGTGGCCGTGATTTTCATTCCCTTGCCCCTGTGAGAATGCATGTCGTGGAGAAAGGCACCTAGTCGTGACTCCGGCTTCAACGCTTCTGCATGGAAGTCACCCTCGTGTGGCGCACCCAGGAGGAAATGGTCGAACTTCTCGGCGGTAAAGTGCTGTTGAACCAACAGGTCTTGACGTGACGCCAATCTGGAAGGTTCCTCGGCCATGGTGGCTGCTGCGGGCGTACGTGTTGCAACTGGCTGGGTATTAGTGTCGCATCTCAAATGAGCGAATGTCTGCCGTACGGTGTCTTCTTGTTGATCTCAGGGCTAGCCGCTAGATACCAGAGTATCTCCGACGCAGCTGTTCGTGCGGTACTGATTGTATACCCCGCTAATCGCAGAGCTACGCGGTAAATGCACGAAGTGCTCGCAGACAGGCGTGGTTACCAAATGGGCTATCCTGCGTACGTTCAAAGTCTTGAGGGTAATCGCCGTCGTCTATCCGAGAAGCGAGTCCAATCTTGCGGTGGTCTGCCAAGAATATGAGTCTGAAAAGTCGATGTCGCGTGGCCAGGCAAAATCCACGCACGTCCGCTATCTAGCCACTAAAGTAAGCCCTCGCTCGTCGAGGCACGCAACGTACCCCTGTCCCGAAGATCGGCTTGCTTCCCTGCTATTACAGTGAAGAACGACGTCTATTGGGCATGGAATTTCCCGTTTGGGAGTATAGAGGCGTTCAAGGTCTTGGTGGCCTTAGCAACTTCCCATGACGTGCTGTCACTGGATGATCGCAACGACTTGTACGAACGCAACGCGGTTAGGCATCTCTATGAGCTGCCCGACATCGATCGAAGATGTCGGACCACTCATGAGGCAGCTTTGCAAACTGCATCCTCATCTCGCAGTGGGCTTTGATTTCACTCTTTCGGTAATAGCAACTCCCCTTCTAGACTCTGTAGCAACCATGGATAATGACAGCACTTTTTTCTTTCGTGTGCCAACCTTTTCCATTAGAATTACCCGGATGCGTTGTCTGTGACATGTGAAGGACGACGTGAGATGCGCACTTTGACGTGCGACAGTTCCCAGATCAGACTACCTGTTCACATAGAACGAGGAGTGCAGCAGGTCACAGTACATCTGTACTTTGACATGAGCCTATCGACGGCCGGCTCGGACTTCAGTCTTCTGTGATGTCGGTCCTGGAACGCAGATGGAAGATCATCTACACATAGACAAACATTCGATCGTTCCGGCATCGCTGAACCCAATCTCAGTGAGCCGTGACTCACCAGTCGCATCCCAGGGTCTTCTCTAGGCAGGCGACCTTTTGGCGTTCATGTAACGCGTCACCAAAAAGTGAAAACGCACGTGTATGATACGCTCACGCACTGAAGGTGTTTTCGCCTTGCAACCCCACTCCTCTACCATCCCCCCTTCGCGACACCCATATCTGAAGACATTTCCATCGAACAGACTCAGACTCAGGTAGGTCGACATCAGCCAGCGCTTCTCGTGCGACATTTGACTTACCGACATTTTTCAGTCAACCATGTACGGCCCAGGACGCCTGCCCCTGGGCAAGGCGGCGGTCGGCACACACTTGCTGCTACTGCTGCTGCTCTTCGCTGCAACAAGTCTTCCCCCTATTGGCTACAATCTCCACCCGGTTTCGCAGCGAGGCCCGGCGTCGTTTACGAACGAAGCCGCGATCTTCAACTCTACAGCCACGGTATGCAATCCTCCGCGACGGACGTGAACGTCGCAACTCACAAGTCATAGATTACCGCGATGGCGCCAGTGCCTTTAGGATCCCGTCCAGTAGGTTCTACTGTGATCGCTTCCACAGCTTCCACGTCTCTCACTGAGTCGGTCCAGGTCGGTCAAGCCTTGTAGAATCGGAAGTCCACCAGCTTACAAAAAGCACAGATCCTGACAACAGTCGACCCCTCGTGTGAGCATGAGGCGGTCGCCGACCTCCTGACTCCCCGCGGTGGCAGCTCGACGACCATGTTGCCTAGCTGGACATCAACTGCTGCAACCCCGGTCTCAACGCCTACTCCCGAAGATCTTCCCGACGCACCGCCAGACCTCCCCGCCTTCGCCTGCCCTGAGTTGGGCTCAACCACGGACGACCCCGAGTTTACCTGGGTATCCCCGCTCACGCCATACTCTTTTTCCGACGAGTTCCAGGAACGATACGGAGGGCTACTCGCGGGCTACCGAGGCGACGACCTGTCGGATCCAGAGGATAACGACGTTTGCGACTTGGATGAATCTCAACAGCAAGGTTATACAGAAGATATGCCTTGGGCCCAGTTCTCGGATACGTCTGCCTCAGATCTCCTTGATGAAACTCAAATTGTAAGTCAACAGCATGGTCGGCCTCCTACGTCTTACTGACAACAACTAGCACGAGCAGCCAAGGTTTACCATTAATCCAACGGTGATTGATCCGCGGGTCGGCATGTCTGTGCCGCCGGCGGACATGCACTTTCCGTTGGATGTATGCCCTGCACCTCGACCTCTCACCACTTCCCGCACCACCTATCCACAAATCTCGTCGACGACCGGCAACGCGATTCTGACCCCGATCAACGCACATGCCGGCCATGGCTTCGAACTCGATAGAATACCCAATGAAATAATGGGAGAGATCTTTAGGCATCTTCTGGTATTTCCAGGCCAAGTGGTCCACGTGAGCGACTTGTACCACCCGACTGGAGAACCTGTACTCTATGTCGGGATCTCAGGACAATTTCCGCATCATGGCCTGCGCCTGCCACCCCTGGGAGACCTTCTGGCAGTAGCTGCAACAAATCGACGATGCCGCCACCTCGCTCCAGACCAATTCTTCAGACATAATACCTTTGATCTTACCTGGAGCCATGCCTTTCAATGGACGAGGAGTTTGCCTAGACGATACCGAGAGCAGCTAACGCGTGTCGAGTTGTCTCTCTACTTAGGCCCAGTAATCTGCCCGGAGAAGAAGAGAATTTTTGCCGAAGAGCGGATTACAATCATTGGAGCGAGCCACAGGCTGCGGTCAGTCACAATCAAAGTGCCAGATCCTCCAACCTTCCGACCTCTTTCACTTGCCGGAAAACAACAGATGTTTCTTCAGTTGCCTGAACTCGACCTTCTCAGCCGCCTTCGCGGAGTGGACAACTTCGTGGTAGAAGGCTCGTTCCCACTCCCAGCGGTCGATATCACGCGGCTGCAACAGTGCCTGGCAAAGCCTAAAGGGAGGCGCGGCAGGCACGATCAGCCACATCTCTACCCAGCTCTAGCTCTACGCCCATTGAGCAGCGACATCCTGGTGAGGCTTTGGTCAGAACTAGACTCTGAACTCGAGTCCTACGGTGAAGATCCTGCAGATTTCTCGACCAAGATCTCCAAGGCAAAGAAACTGGAACGTTTGAGGCGGCTCGACTGGAAGAACCCAGATGAACCGGACGAGCCTTGAGCACCCGCTTGGTATCGGGAGCAACTGACCGTGTCGCGCTCTCTCGACGTTCTGATGCAGATAGACGGTATCTTGTAATAGAACCATATGTATGACCTCTTGGCCTTGTGATCTGCCTCAACGTCTTGTCTTTGACTAAGCGTAGATGGCGACTTCTATGCAATCCAATCGTGATGTGACAGTGACTGTTGCTAAACGCTGACCAGCAGAGACTCCAGATCTACGGAGACAGTTGCTGTCTCGTTGTAGATTGTGCATCCTCTCAAGTTGAATGGGATGAGCTTCTTGGAGAATGAAGTAAAATGCCGGGCACTTCAATTTGCCTTGAGCCGAAGATTCTTCTCTCACGTCTTCAAGTGATTGCGTGGCTTTGCAAGCGTTTGAAGCCGGGCTCGATCCGGGCGCTAAAAGTGACCCTTAAATTGGAGCGGCCGTTCGTTGTCGTGAAAGCTGCCTGCGAAAACTTCAGTCGCAGCTTCTCCGCCAACTTCTCCAATCCCTTCAACATCACCCACAATCCCCCTTCTTCTGACGTCTGCTCTTCTACCAAGCACACCATACCATCGTCGAGTCCAGCTGCGGCGCCTGATCGAGTACCTTGACGGAAAGCAATTTCTCCGCACCTCCTCTCCCGATCGCAGTACGTCTTTGACGCACCTCGACTTCCCCGCCCTCGTCTGCATCACAGAAGATGCCGTCCTCCTCCTCGCTCCCTCCTGCCGCTGCGAAGCAGCTCAGCAGTACCAACGTCGTCGTCGCGAGTACCTCCCCGCCGACGGCCGCAGGCCCAAACCAACCTCCTCGCGGGCTTCTGGCTTTGCCCACCGAGATTCTCCTCACAATATTCGAATACGTACTGGTAGAGGAGGGCAGGCTATCGCCAAGTTTAACAAGGTCTCGGAGGGTGGAGCCTATATTGCGGGCACACCCCCGCATCCTCTCAACACGGGCTGCGCCTCCCAAGGCGAGTCCCCTCAAGCCAATGCTCGAGATCTTGGATATAAGCTTGGTCGCAAGGCCGCTGCTTCCAGTCGTGCGAGACGTCTTCTTTGGAAAGAACCGCTTCGACTTGTCCTTCGGCCAGAAGTGGGTAAGCGGCATCCATCCAGGTCTCCAGACCCTCATACACGACGTTGAGATATGCGTCTCGACCTTCGGCACGAGCCAGTTCCCGCGGTCAAGCGTTGACTTCTCCCAACATCAATTGAATATTAGGAGACTACGCATACTAATCTCTCCCCGCGCGTTCGAGTGGCACGTCTACCACCCTAGACAACAAGGAGGGCAGACACCTTGGGAGCATGTTTTTCGCACTGCCCCTGAAGTTCGTGCTCTCAGCAGATTGCGTGGCGTTGGGGAAGTCACGGTCGACTTCAAATATCCTTCTAAGCTGTTTACTCCGCCAGCTCCAGGTTGGTTGTTGGCGCAGGCAATCTGGCTCAAGAATGCCATGGAGCAGAATTAGGGGTGTGAAGACGCCGGTGTAGATTAGAACAATGCATGAGCTGCAGTCAGGCAGTATGTCCTCTTCCTCCATGATAGCCGTACGGCTGCAAAATGATGCCGCTGGATAACCAGAGATGTTCATCGTATTGCCCAGTGATCCAAGATTCCGCAAGTGATCTCCTTTGCCCGAATTGTTACTGGGGAATGTCTGAGTACGACCCTGCTCGCGTCTGGAAGCTTCTGCCGAACGGTAGAGGCTCGGAAACCGGCCCTCTCACCCTCACTTCCTCATTCCTCATCGATCATTGCCTGAGTGACCGTTGGCTGACTACGCTAGCACGCTCAAAGTCTTGGCGCAAGGTCAAAAGGCACAACAACTCTGTCCCTCTTCCCCTCCTTAGCAACGACACTCTCAAATCATCATCACAATGCGTTTTGCTCTCTCCCAGTCAGACGACTTCCTCGCCCGCCACGACCTCGACCGCTCCATGCTCGAGAAGCTCGCCGAGAACGAAGACCGCTTCCTCGCCGACGCCCGTGAGAAAGCGAGAACCGCCCCCCGTATCAACGCGCTTGGTCTCGCCGCGCGCGAAGAGATGGTGGATCGAGAGCTGGCCGAATTCGGCCCTGCCGCGTTCCCCCCTTCCTCCTTCTTCGAGACCACCGGATCTCTGCGTCCTCGCGTGCCGCCGCCCACTGGTCAACAGCCTGCTCCCCCGGCGCCTACGTCGGGTGTGTGGGATTACTATCAGGCTTGCGTGGTCAACGCGACCAATACGTACTGGTCGTACGGTGCCAAGACTGGTGTAAGTACTAACCCCTCTCCATATCACATAGTGACTGACTAACATGTTACAGTGCGTCAAGAACAGCGACGCCCTCAAGGATGCCAAGGAAGACGGCAAACGCGTCTACACGAAGCAGCCGGACGGTCAGTTCCGCTGGGCGGCTTTCCAGCAGTGCAGCCCGAGCACAGTTGCGGGCTTCAAAGGACTACATCAGATTGTGCGAGCTGTCGGCGGCAACCCTGCGAACTTCGGTTCCAGGATTGAGATGGCCAAGTACGTCATCGCTCAGGAGGCACCTCTCAGTGTCGTCCAGGAGGAGGACGAGGGCGAGATCTACTCGGGTACCTTCCCGGTCCACTTGGGCCAGCCAGCGTCCCAGAAGTTCTGGGGTGTTGGACAGTTGGGCAACGGCACGCTGACCATGGCGGCGTCGACCCAGGGTGCGATGGAGAAGTACGGTGCGATGGAAAAGCTGAGTGGATGAAGGGGTTTTGTGTGGTCTCCGGGCTCATGAGCATTTAGCGTCGGCGTTTGTGGTTGCTGGCCCTCGACAGAAGACATCTTGTCGTTGGAGGAGCTGGCCGCTTGGTATCAGATAAACTAAGCAATACGAAGACATGTCCTCCCATTATTCTTCTTTGAGAACGTGCCTGTGAGCCTTTTGTGATACAAGCTACTTCTGCTGTAGGTGTCTTTCTCGACCCTTCAGGTATAGACATTGACGTATCGTGACATCTGCTCGGCGTGCGTCTAGATGCCCGCATCATATCTCATACGAGTCATTGAGAGCACTGAAGTCGTCTGTACCGACAGCATCGTCAGGAGATCGCGCTCGGGCCTTGCAGTTTGGCGTCGCAGTGTTGTTCGTCCAGTGCGTCTATGTCTCACTTTTCTCGACAACCGCATCACGATCTACGCGTCACCCACAACACACGAAACGATCCTCGGTATCCCCCGCTCTTCTTCTCAGATCATAAGAGCGACCGTTGAGCTTGTGGCAAGCAAAGAGTCATCGGCGCTCTGGCAGATCAGCACACCCTGCACTCGACTCCTGTACACGACAACTGCACCACCGCCTTTTCAACAGCCAGTAGACATCTGTGACACAGTGTCCCTCCTGCAGGTTGATCGCCATCTCCACGTCGAGCCCGCCCACAACCCACGAGCCTCCGCCCAGTCCATGACGACCGCACCAGTGCCGCCGGCAGCACCCTGAACGCGCCCAGCACCTCGAGGCTCCCAGATCGAACGCGATGACGCCAGATACCGACGGAGAGGTCGCTTCCGCGTTCCAGTTCTTCTCCTCGAGACTGCCAGAGGAGATATTCTTGCAGATCCTCAAGCACCACCGCGCCAACCACATCCAAGGTGTGCTTGTTTTGGACTACAACGGCTTTCCCATTCCCGAAAATCCCGCCTTCATTTCCCTGACAGCTTGCGAGGTACACTGGACTGAAGACAAAGGAAGCCAGAGCTACACCCCGCCGGTGGTCCGGCCCCTTGGCTTGGAGGTGGTGCGCAAGGTCTTGGGGATTCGCCGTGTCAACAAGCTCTTTGCGCGCTGCATGCTCGAAGTCTTCTACAAGAGCCCCATGGTGTTTCAGCACGGCCAGTCAAGTGACCTTGGCATAAAGCCTATGTGGTTTCTCCCATGCCAGATCGAACCCAAACTCATCGAGCGCGGCGCATCAATCAAAGTTGAATATCGCGACGAGTGGCGGCACACGTATCTGAGACTCGTAGCAACGGACCATGAGGTTGGCATCGAGTGCACGACAACGGGTATAGACTTGGCTTTCAGCAGGGAGAAGCAAATGCCGACCATAAACGATGAAGATGCTGAGCTCTTGGCGATGGACCCCAACAGGATGTTTGTCCAAACACCCAATGGCCTTCTCATTCGGGGTATACAGTTCACTGGAGGTTATGAGGAGACATCGTGGTTTCTCCCCGAAACATGGAGCGAGGTAACGATCCAAACGTTCTTCGTCCTTCTCCAGCACCCAGATTGGAGCTCAACCGATATTCCTCCCGGCTCGTCCTTCATCCTGTCCCTGAAATAGAGAGAGACCATGTCCGAGGAGGAGATACAGGGTACATGTGACGCGATGGCCTTCAGGCTACATAGACTTGGTATCTGGCAAACCTGACGGCAATGCAACAGCTTGGAGGAGGCGTTGGTTACTGGACGCCGCACAGGCATAGATAATGATATGCTGCAGCTCAGTCGGAAGAAGCACTCTTGCGCTAGTTTTATTTCCAGACCAATCGTGCGTGCGTGATGTAGAAGAAGCCAGGGGCCTGGTTGCAGGCCTCGCGCCTAGTATTCGACTGATAATCTGTGTCGCTGGCGTAGTCGCTGTACACAGGCTGCGTTGCCTTGATGATCATGAAACCCCGTCGTCGTCTGAACTTTGCGTGAAGTTCTAGCGTGGCGCTCTCAAGTTCGATGTTTGTCTGCGTCCGTCTCTCACGACGACTTCCGCCTCCGAACTCTTGATAGCTTCACCACACGACAGCCACCCACAACCACGTCCTCCTTTTCAGACACTGCGCCGACAGCTCTCTGCCCTTAGATTGTGACCGGCACAAGTGCGACAAATTCGAGACGTCTGTAAGCACCTCCGCGCTATCGGCCACCTCCGCGGCCTCGTTCGACCATCGCGATCTTAGCCACGACTAAAGACGGCGACAGCCACGACAACAGCTCTTCTCATCGGCTCGCACACCTGCGCCGGACTCGCGAAGATACCGGTAACGACAACGGCGCTGCCTGCAACGTCTGCGACTACCCCTCCTCGCCGACCCAGATCGGGGGCGACTGCGACATCAGTCACACCCTGCCCAGGAAGCACTCCTGACGGCTCCCAAAGCACACTCAGTAACACATCCGACGCCAGGAAGACAACAGCAAAACCTCCTCGTGTCCCGCCGCCAGGTTTCAAAGCCCAGGTCGTCGTGACAGCCGGTTATCGCCATCACAAAGACAGCCACCAGGCAACTCGTACAGCATACGATCGTTTTACGGCAGCAGCTCTGCTACTCCCCGGATCGCCGAAGGGATTGACTGCTGGTATCCCCACGCCACAGACGTCCAACAATCAAGCGCCCGCCGAGAAGATAGCATACATCTACCCACGGAGCCAAGCCCAAAGCAAACATGAGCAGCCTCCAAGATGACAGCACTCATGCGGCTCTCGAGCATACAACTCGACCTGTATCGTGGCGTAAGTACTCTCCTGTCAAGACCGATATGTCGCTAACAAGTTCAGCGTCTCACATCGACCCGAACGAGCCGGACATCGCGACCCCGCACAACCCTCCCCGCCCTGTTACAACAGAAGAGAAACGTCACTGGAGACAGGGTCAGCATGCGATGACCTACAACGCATGGCTAGCGAATGAGAAAGAGTTGGACGATGCCTTCCGCACCTGGCGAGATACAGACGACGGTAAACGCGAGGTCGCAGAAGTGTACAGCCGCTTCCCAGGTTTGCGGCTTACATGCATGGGCGCCGAGGACGTCTCCTGGTTCGTTAGGGAGATGTCGACCCGCGGCACATACTTGCGTACGAGGTGGGATGCCGTTACTAGCGACGGTTACACGGGACTTGAGTTCACAGACCCCCAGATCAAGCTCTTGCTGCTGTTGACGTCTCCGCAACGGTCGCTTTCTGTTCAGAGCATGGCCGACAAGTGCATGGAGCTTCTTCCGCTTTATCGAAAAGCATTTGGGTCGAACAGCGAGTACATCGAGTACATCGAGATCATGTTCGGCGGTGCTCAAGATACCAATGGCTACGACTGCTTTTTCCCCCATTGTGGTTACTTCGAAGGTAACGTTCCGGGCTGGCCTTCGAGATTAGAGTCTGCCGCAAGCGCTGGAAACAGCCTCCATAAAGATGTCTTCACTCTTCCGCCCGGGGAAGAGAGTATACTTACAACCCACCGCTATCAGTATGATCGTCTGTACCGCGATACACCTCCATACATCCCAAGAAGCAGCATACATCGAGGAAAGACAGCAAAGGGGATAGCCGATCTGCCAATAGAGTTGCTGAACAGAATCTTCGAGCATATTGGTTTGTTTGAAGGCCCGATTCTCCTGGCACTGAAAACAAAGCGCGTCACACATCCTGCTCAACGTTTTTACTGCAAATACATGCTTCCGAGCCACCGTGGCAAGATTGGTGGTGAAGTCGGAGCTGACTGGCACAAGGACGTTCGGCCCGACATAGGCATACCTAACGTCCTCAGTCTTCGCAAAGTATGTCGCGCATGGGGCGACATGATCCGAGACGTCTTCTTCCAGAACACCTTCGTTTTCCGGTACGATGACCATATGCTGAAAGGTTCAAGATCTCAAAACGTGTGGGCCATATCCACATCTGTAAGAGAGGACCGATACAGCCTGGTGGACTTCAAGATTCGATGCAAACCTATCTTACAAGATGGGTTGGCACAACCATTCGGAGAGCCGGATGAAATTGGCATCGATTACGAAGAAGAAGTAGTTTACCTCGGAGCCAGCCACAATGCAGACAGGATGATCCTTCGGTACCGACGCTTCTTGCGACCGGACTTTCGTCGTTAAGAAATGGATCAACAGCCAACTGTTCTTAGATGACGGAGGCCACCTGGCTGTGCGAGCCTTCCGTCTGAAGTTCGATCCTGGTACCCATGCAAGGGAGCTTTCCAAGCAATGGCTCTCGGATATCTTCCAACACTTGCACCGGAGGGGCATTGGAGGTAGAGGTACCGGCAGCAACACCTTGCTGCTCGACTGGAACGCTCGCGACCTGTGAACAGTCCGTCCCGGCGCCCACGTTACATGTTGTTTGTTCCGTTGATGCGGCGCAAGTGCTCGAGTTCTCCTGTGGTGACGAGTATGACCGCTGAAGCCGCCGGTGCTTGGAACCCAGCTGCTACTTCTTTGCTTGCCTCCTCCGCGGGGGTAAGACGGCGGACGATGCTCTGCCTATTGTTGGTGGCAGTTGCGGTGCAATGGCGGTCGGGGCAGAAAGCGCGACGTCGATCACGATGGTTCTTCGGAAGAGGGTCGAACGTCGATGCCTGGTAAAGAGAAGGCAAGTGGTATCGTACAGGAACCCTTCGATGCGGCCTGAAGATTGTGTTCAGTCAGCAAGGTCGCCCCTTCATAGGGTGTGAGAGTGCCTACCTGGAGAGTCGTCCGCTTCATGACCAGCTCTATAGTACTGAAGCAGTCGAAGAGAACACCATCGAGCGTGGTTGAAGAGGCAGATCGAGAGGCAATTTGCAAGAGCAGGGTGTTTGGTCCGAGCATTGGGGAATTGGATCGCTCCGCTGGGACGTCACGGCAACGCCCAGGCTCCCATTATAGTGCAGCGCGTACTGCATGACCACTGAAGCAGTTCAAGGAGAGCTTTCTGAGACTGCGGCCCTGTGGTGCGCTGAGATTGCGGAGGTCCAGCGGAGGATAGTCGGCAATGAGGTCAAGTCCGCCTTATTTTCGAAGTCAAGCCCGCGAACAACGCGTCAACGATTCGAGTACCTGGAGAGCATTAAGAGGCGCGACAGCAAGCCCACTACAAGAGTACTCGAGATCCTGTTCTCGTTAGTAGCTGGCGAAGCCGTCTCCGCTCGAGCGTACAGAAGGCGGCCAGCCTATCCTGCCACTCGAGGTATGCAGACAGAGCGGACATAGATACGGCTCTCCAGCTCTAGATGGCCTGGCGAAGTCTGCTCTGTCAGTGTGGAAGGATCCGGAAGGTTGAGTTGAGTTGAACACGAACTGAGTTGCTGTGGGTCGTGACACTGTGAACTTCAGATCGAGCCACGGGCAAAGCTTCAGCCCTTTCCGCACTAACAATCGACCGCCACCGTGACCACCGATTACAATTCAACCACCACAGGCAAACCACCTCGCCCTACATTCCAATGGCATCGACAGCAAGCTCGAACGACGGAAATGAGGGAAATCCCAGCCGCTCGCGTAGGCTCGTCCGCAACGTTCTCCGTTTCTTCTCCTGCAAGTCATCGTACAGGTTGCCAACGCACCTGTATATGCAGAACGGAGCTGGAAGAGGACAGCCTAGTCGTTCAGGACCACCCCAACAAGCCGACTACTGCAGCCTCCCTCGGGGACTACGCCGTCACCCTGCGCGCGCATTGGAGCATCAGCGCGAGGCCGTGAAGCATACGGGGGCCGTATAGATGCTAGCCACTGTGTGCGCCAGTGGAGCCTGGAGTCCGCGGCGTGTCTTTCCGACGCCAGATACTAGAAGAGGATGACGCGGAGACCGTCAGGAGGTATCGAGAGCAAACATGGCAACAAACAAAACTAGTAGATGCAGACGACGGCGGAAGCGTATAACACGAGAAACACGCGTAGGAAGCACAGGAAGAAGTTCAAAAGGAGATGTTGGGCGCGACATGTCGGAGGGGTCGCCATCCGACGCGAGATGAGATGAAGTTGGGAGGTTGGACGCCATCTACCCCACCATAGCTCCCCATGACGCTAGACGCACCCCTGCCTCCGATGCAGGCCGACCGAGCCTCCGATGACTCGCCCAAAAAATACAAAGACACGCTCAACAAGCTGCACTTCTGGCACAACACCACAATGACGACGGTCCCCGACTACTCACGGCCGACGACGCCTGACAATGGCCCCAATGGCCTTGTCTCGCCCCGCACGCCCAAGAACGGCCTCGCCCTGACCGAGTACAGCGCGAACCCGAGTCCGCCCTCAGAATCGACGTCTTCGCGAACCAACGATGTCATACCCGACGCCTTCCTCCTGCCCAACGGCTACCCCGACTACCTCCGCCTCATCCTGACCTCGCGCGTATATGAAGTCGTGGAGGAAACGCCCCTCACCCACGCCACCAATCTCAGCAACAGGCTAGAATGCAATGTTCTACTCAAGCGCGAGGATCTGCAGCCCGTCTTCAGCTTCAAGCTGCGCGGCGCATACAACAAGATGGCACATTTGGATCCCAAGGACAGGTGGAGAGGCGTCGTCGCGTGCAGCGCCGGAAACCATGCGCAAGGTGTGGCCTACTCTGCGCGCAAGCTCAAGATTCCCGCAACTATCGTCATGCCCTCAGGAACGCCTGACATCAAGCACAAGAACGTCTCACGGCTAGGCGGCTCAGTCATCCTACATGGAGCTGACTTTGACGCTGCAAAGGCAGAGGCTGCGCGATTGGAGAAGCTGCATGGGCTTGTGTCTATCCCGCCATTCGACGACCCATATGTCATTGCAGGCCAGGGCACGGTCGGCATGGAATTGCTGCGACAGACAAACTTGCAAGACCTCAAGGCCGTCTTCTGCTGCGTGGGAGGTGGTGGTCTCATCGCAGGCACAGGCGTATACATCAAGCGGATAGCCCCACACGTCAAGATCATAGGAGTCGAGCAGTACGACGCAAATGCAATGGTCGAATCGCTCAAAGCCGGAAAGCGCGTCTTCCTGAAGGACGTCGGACTCTTCGCTGACGGAGCTGCGGTCAAGACAGTGGGAGAGGAGACATTCAGGATATGTCAAGAGGTCGTCGATGAGGTGGTCCAGGTCACAACAGACGAGACGTGTGCAGCCATCAAAGACATGTTCGAAGATACACGCTCCATTGTAGAGCCCGCAGGCGCGCTCGCCCTCGCAGGTCTGAAGAAGTGGGTGAGCCGCAACCCGTCACCAGATCGCAACCGTGGTCTAGTCGCCATCGCCAGCGGCGCAAACATGAACTTCGACCGTCTCCGCTTCGTCGCCGAACGCGCCGCCATCGGTGAAAACAAAGAAGCCATCCTCTCCGTCACTATCCCCGAACAACCTGGTTCATTTGCCAAGCTCGTTTCCGTCATCCACCCCATGGCAGTGACAGAGTTCAGCTACCGCTACTGTGGCCCTGAGTCAGCTCAGATCCTCGTTGGTGTCGAACTGAAGGCGGCGACAAGGGCCCGCGATCTACCTGACCTTATCGAACGTCTCGCCGCTGAAGGCATGACTGCCGAAGACCTCTCTCAAGACGAACTCGTAAAGTCACATATCCGCTACTTGGTCGGAGGGCGCAGCAACGCCGCCGATGAGCATATGTACATGTTCGAATTCCCCGAGCGAGGTGGCGCCCTGTACAAATTCCTGAACACATTGCAACCGGGAATGAACATCAGTCTCTTCCACTACAGAAACTACGGCGGCGACGTCGCGAAGATCTTGGCGGGCATACAGTGCAAGGAGGAGGACAGCAACAAGTTAGCCAGTTTCTTGAAGGACATTGGATACCCATACAAGGAGGTCACCGATAGCTCAAGCTACAAGATGTTCTTGAGGCAATGAGATGGGCAGGATTGATGTAGGCAAAAGGCGACATGTGTAAGGATATGTGGTGGAACGAAGATATGAAGGAACAAATGCAGATACCCCTTTCACTTTCTTACACTACTCACTATCTCCCAAACTACGTGCATATTGCCCATCCCGAGACCACGGTCACCCATCTACCAAGGCCAACCCCCCTCCGCCTTCAAGAACCCCCCACACTCATCATCCCTCTCGCCTTCCAAGATAGCAACCATGGGCTTCGCGCCCTCACTGGTAGGCTTAGCCCCATGCTCCGGTTTGTTCTATCTCACATGTCAGCAAACGTCGTTTAGCCCCACGCGCAACAACAAGTGGAAGTGGGAGTAAGAAAACGTACCCTAGGCCCCAAGTTACTCTCCGTGAACCCCGGACAGAAGCAAAACACCTTCCACCCCTTGGGTCCGTACTCGTAGTCCTGGCATGCAGTAAGCATGTTCAGCGCCGCTTTGGAACTGCGGTATGGCAACTGTCTCTCATATTAGCAAAAGTCTCACCAAATACCAAATCAACCCCACCGGCCCCAATCTCGACAAGACAGCCAATACAGAGAGTGGAGGACATACATTTTTCATGGCCTGATGCGGGTTCGTCCTGTCACTCCTGAGCCCGATACTCCCGGCTCCACTCGACACATTAAGGATCCGCGACGTCTTCCCCATCTCAGCGCTCTTCGCGAGAAGAGGAGCGAACGTTTCTACGATGACGGCTGGACCGGTGGCGTTGGTTAGGAACGCGGATGTCATGCGTGTGGCGAGAGAGGCGGAGGCGGGTGCTTCGCCGGTTATGGCGGCGTTGTTTACGAGGGCGTCGATGCTGGTGGAGAGGTTAGTGGGTGAGGGAGGGTTGAGTTCTGCTTGGAAGGACCGGGGTAGGATTGGAGATGGAGATGGGATAGGAGAAGGGATGGGTGTAAACGTACCGACCATACTTCTCCTCGACCACATCCTTCGCGTTCTGGATACTCTTCTCGTCGCTCACATCAATCTGCAACAACTCCACTTTCCCAGGCAATTCTTTTCCCTGGAGCTGTTTCACAGCGGCTTCGCCTTTCTCAGCGGAGCGACTGCCGAGGAGGACGAGGTATTTGGCGTTTTCGAGGAGTTGGGTGGCGAGGGAGAAACCGATGCCGCCATTTGCTGGGATGATTTGTTAGTCGGGGCTTGAAAGAGGGATTAGGGGAGTGATGGAAAGAGGGTGGGAGGTGGGAGGAAGGTATGGGGTAGGAAGTAGGAAGTTAGGAGGTGTTTGCGTACCGCCGGTGATGAGAACGATGGTTTGGTCGGTGGAAGGCATGTTGATGTTTTTTGTTCGTTTACGGACTGTTTGATGTAGAGCTGATGTTTCTCTTCGTGTTGATGTGAGCTTAATATTATCTTGTTGGCGGCTGTAGCCCTCTCTTTATATATCTCATCCTCTGCCTCCGCCTTCCAAGGTTCTATCTCCACACCCAACCCTAAACTCTACGACTACGCATAGCTTCTTTCATGGGCTCATGCTCCAGCTCCACAGCCACACACTGCCTACAACTAAGCAACCGAAAGTGCAATAAGCCACTTGCACATTTTGCGGTAGTGCGCGTCTGAAGTACCGTAAGCATGCATGCCCCTTGACCGGACAGTAACAACACGTCTACGTAGTGCAAAAGCCACGCATATCAAACGCACATGCATCCAATGAGCGCCTCCGATACTCTGGTGAAAACCTAGTATTTCCCCCGACCATCCGCTGCCGACCATCCAGCACGGTGGAGATAGTCGGCGGACGGGGATAACGGAGTTAAAGACACGATCATGGAGTAAAGACGGCCATATACGAAGCAAGGTTAGACTGTAAGCACATCACTTTGCTTCATCCGTCGCGTGAAATAAAGCGTGGTTGATATTCCTGATCCATCTATTGGCTATCTAAGTTGTGTATTGATGTTGCAAGCCGAGGGCCGCTGTCGGCTGCGTGGTATCCTAATGATGCGAATTCCTCCTGACCCAAAAAGAAGAAACGCCGGCGCCTATTGCTGCGCCTTACCCAAGATGACAACGCCCGATCTGATGCAAATGTGGTAGCGAATGTAGGGGTGGTGTGTGGAAGGACATGTTGAATGGAAGAGAGGTAGAGCGAATGTACACGCTCACACCCTATCCTCTGCGAAATCCAACACCTCGCAATCGTCCTCGAAGAAACCCTCCTCGTCGCCGTCGATACCCTCCTTCTTCACGCGCCGACGTCGTGTGGTGACGACAACCTGCTCTACCTCCTCTTCGCCGTCTCGAAGAACAAGCTTGTTCTCGATCCTGGCGGCAACGCCCGTGATGTCATCCTCTCCAGAGTCATACGCCTGAGTGATTGGCGTGGAGATACGTGTTCCCTCTACGGTCTCACCAAAGAGCCATGGCGAGCTATCTTCGTGATGGAGATCGGAGATAAGTGCCGGTAACGAGGGCTGGTATTCGCTGCTACTCTCTTGAACCTCGGGTGCTTGTCTGGAGTAGACAAAACGCGTGACACGTTTGTCGGTGTAGAAGGGCTGGTAAGGAGGGTTCGTCTCAATCTCGGAGAAGCTGAGTGGTGCGAGAGATGGCACGGTAGGCTTGCGAGAAGGCAAAGCGCGAGGAAGCCAGTCACCGTAGCAGTCAAGTGTTGGCTCAGGATCACCAGGTTGCGGGAACAGTTGCTCCGTGACGGAGGGTGGTAGTGCGGTATCCGAGATGGGAGCAAGTCCGAACTCCACTGTCTTCTTCTTGGTTATGGATGCAGTATGCGATGATTTCCCCTTGCCTGTCGCAGCTCTCATCTGCACCCTCCAGATCTGAAGTACACCACCGGACGCTAGTGCGATCGAACCACGACCTCTACCAGAAAGCCAGCGTACGCTGTAAGGCTTGATACCGCTAGGCGATGACGGAAGTGTCATTTTGTTGTCGCCGGCATGCCGGATGTTGTTGATTGACTTGCCTACATTGGCAGCGACGGCTTTGCCAGATTTTGCGCCAGCGGCAGGGGTTACACCCAAGCCACTGAGACTGAATCGAGTTCCGCCGACGCTGTTCTTAGCGCGAACAGCATCAAACCAAGGCCTAGCGCTATTGACAGCTTGCATTGCTGAGTTCATCACACCAGCGGGACCTGTGGGGGACGCGACATCCTTTGGTGGGGCTGGTGCAGCTGGACGAATGCGCCGAGCTGGTGGCCATTGGAAGGCCGACGCAGGCATCGGGAACATGTGCACTGTTCCCTTGTCCGTGATGACAGCCAGTTTGTCGACTCGAGGGGCAGACCAAACAACATCGATGACGTTCGCAACAGTCATTCTGGTGAAGCGAGCGACTTGTCGTACGTAAGGTCCTGTTGGCTGTTCCCTTAACGTCTTACGTGCTCTTCGGAAGTTCATGCGCTTCAGGTCCCAAACATCTTGATAGTCGCCCTTCTTGCTCACAGTCATGAGCATAAGACCGCTGGGGGCGAATGACATGAAGCTGCAACCGAGAGCCGCGGGTATAGTGGCGACCGGATGAAGTGCGTTCTTATTCCTCGTTTCCTCTGCGTCTGCCAGTCTCTGCAGATCATAGACGGAGATCACAGATGCCTCTTGTCTTGGCTGAGTCTGGTTGTGGCCATGGGTCGGTGGAAAGTAATGCTGCATGGGATCTTGACCATATGACACGTTAGCTCCTTGCTGGCCCTTGTTCATGTAGCTCTTGAAAGCCTGCATTCCCTTCTCAGTGGCCCAACGTGCACCCTTGATTGCAACTTGTGTTCCCTCCCTGGTAAGTCTATCGATCAAGCCTGCTTCGTTGGGCACATCGACAGCGCAGTTGGGAGACGGCTGAGGCGGGATGCTGTGGTGCCCAAGGCCCGGAGCGCGCTCGTAGTAAGGTGAAGTCAGGGCTATACCGTTGACAGGGTAGAGCGCGCTTGACGCTGGTGGGGTGACGGCGAGCCAACGATCGGAGAGCGAAAACACAGGCAAGCCATACTTCTCAGGAGGAATCTCGTCATGGCTGCCGTCAACGGCACTGGAACCGCCTGAATGTATGGCCCGTTCCCGATTCTGAACGGATGTCCACAGTTTACCGATGCAGCGGAATCGCTCTGCATACTCAGAGTGACCTTCGTGGTAAGGCGCGAATACGAAGACTTCTCCACTTGCACCAGACGCCACAACAACAAACTTCCCCCTCGCATCAATGACGAAGTCGCCTACTGGAGGTGGAGGCTGAAACATGGGGCTATCGATTGGGCTCGTGAGAGTTATCAGGGGAGTGCGATACAGGACAGCCATTCTCCGCCTCTCCTTCAGTGAGTAAACTTCGACCGTAGTTTGGTAACCACTGATTTGCCCCTCTTGATTTCCATGTCGTGAGGACGGCCTACTAGGTGACTCAGACGCCGAATCGTCAGCCGCGGAGGATGCACCGCTTCCACTAGAGCTTCTGCTGTCTTTGACGACCGGACCGTGAAGAATGAGTGCAATCAGTGGACGGGAAGCAGCTAAGGGATCGTGCCGCGAGGTCCAAGGCAAGATCTTGGCGCCTATTACAGCGCCCCGAAGTCCTTCCAGTCGACCTACGATGTCCATCTTGCTCTTTTCAACGCGAAAGACGTCGAGCCCACCTTGCGAGCCAACAAGCAGCACGTTCTCTGTAGTTCGAGCCGCCTCGTCTCCGGCCATGGATAGACTATCGAAGCCACAGAAGTAGCCTCCTTCCCCTGGCTGGATGCCATCGGACTGGCCGTTGTTGAGGCCGAAGTCGATGTTCGGCAAGCCATAGTAGTGTGCTTGAGGTTGATGCGGCAGCGGCGGGTTCGGCATGAACTGTTGTGAGGGCGGGCGAACACCTTGCTGCGAGTACACAGATGCTCTACGGTCTCTTCCAGGCGAGTTCTGTACGCGTCCACCAAAGTTGGTGTATTGGTTGGGGTGGCTCAGGGGTCGTGCACCTGGAGGTGAGTTTGACATGGCCTGTGGTGCGTACAGCCCGTCTCGTGCACCAGGCGAGTTATGAAAGGTAGGCGGAGAGCTGGCTATTGCGATGCCACCATTACCCGGGGAGCCGGAGTTTGGAAAGAAGGGAACTGACTTGGTCCACTCGTTGGTGTATTGTGCGGCCGTGTTTCGAGTGGCACCGATCGCCGATAGTAATGGAGACGTAGTGGCATGGTAGTTTGTGGGTGGGGACGTGGATGACAGACGTTTGGCTGACGAAGGTGACTTGGTTCTGGGGCAGTCAGTCGCGTTTGAATACGAACAAGAGTCACCATCGCCCCTTCCATGTAGGGAAGGGTGGTGCTGCTTCACGTACATCTCTCTCGGGTATATGCGCGTAACCTTGCCGGCCGCTTTATTTCTTCTTCCCAACTCATTTCTCGACGTGTTGCGGCCGCGTGCTTGTGGTGTGTCTTGTACCTTGGTGCCCTTGCGCTGCTGCTTGTGCAAGTAGGTGAGGTTGGAGACGGGCGTCGTATGCTCGGCGGCGTTGTCGGGCGATGAGCTCATATAACCTGCGGGAGAGCGTGTGGAAGGGTCTGTTGGAGCGCTAGCTCAGTCGTGAGGAAGTGGTAGGTGTCGTGGGCGCGAGAGAGGTTGTGGGGGTAGCGACGGATGAGGACGGCGGCGGGTGACTTGGGATGAATGCTAGACGGGCGTTGCGTCATGCGCCTCCGTGACCAGGACTCGTGGAGGTGGTGGGCGCGTGCTTGCACAGCAAGACACTTATACACAACAACACTGGTGCCTTGTTCCTGACTCGGCGCGTTATCGGGGCCTATCTCTGGTTGTCACTCGGTATCGTCGGGAGGGTCGTTGTGGCTGTTGTTTGAGCCGCGGGGCTGGAGCTTCACGCGGCACGCTAGATACGGGGCCCCTCAGCGCGTTATGCAGAGAAGTCTGAATGGGCGCGCAGAGGTGAGTCAAGATGGAGCTCTATCTAAGCTTCCAAGTGTTGAGATATGTATGCAGGGCGTCGTAAGTGCAGTTAGTTGTGTCGCTGGCCAGGTCGCGGTGCTGAGGGGCAGCTCATAGCTTATGCAGGTGCATGTCGCGCCCTCAGCCTTCCATTCGCCCACCCCATCACGGCCGCCGGCACCGCCCTTTGCGCTGCTATCTAGCCCCTCTTTGGCCGACTCTAGTCATTCGCAGATTGCGCGCTACTAGTGATGTCAAGTGACTGCAGCGAGCACGGTAGATGCCTGAGCAGGTTGTTGGGCAGCCACATGCGGCGTTCCGCGATGCATTCCGAGAGAATGGAGTGACGTCCTCCGCATGCATATCATGGCCCACATGCCGCGACACGTCCCGCGCCTTGCACGTGCTTCCAAGGTTACATCTCCAACCTCACTGCAATGATAGCCAGTATCCAGCGGTGAGCTTAGTCTCAGCGATGTACAAGGCCCGGGCCTCAAGTACACAGGCAGCGTCCGTTCGACTCCGTCGGGTCCCGTCCCATCCACAATTACAGGCATTAAACTTATTGTTTACATGCCCAGTAATCCGCCCAGGGGAGATTTGTCCCGAAGCTTATGAAGATTACCATTTTTGGAGCCGGCGACATTTATCCTAGGAGACACTCGCATCGTCTCCTAAGCGATGTGGCTAATGTAGCAATAAACCTCGGGTAGCCTCCGGTACAAAACTATGCAACTCCCAGGCTGAAAACCCTCAACCCATCCATCCAATATGTTCAAGTCCAAGTTCCTGAGCTTCGTCTCCTTGACGCTCCTCCCTGTGGCTCTCGCCCAGTCCGAATACACCAACCTCCCAGCCACAGCACCCGGCGTCTTCAACGCGACCGCACGCATAGAAATCAAGAGCACCGTCCCCGCCGCCTGGGACGTACTCACCAACTTCGCCAACTACGCAGCCTGGAACCCGTTTGTGCGTTATGCCCTCACTACTTCAGCCAAGGGCAACATCACCCTGCCTGATCAGCGACCGGTCGAGGGCAACTTCCTCTTCTTCCGAGTGCAGATTCCTCCGCTTCCGCTGCCGGTGAACAAGGACACGCCCGACAATCTCCTGAACACGCAGTTGTCCGCTGAGCGCATAACTCATGTGCAGCCCGAGTTGGGAAGATTGGCATGGGATTACTTGGGGGAACTCGCTATTGCCTCGACGCGCTGGCAGGCGCTCAGCGACATAGGCAATGGCACGGTGTTGTATGAGTCGATAGAAGTGTTTAATGGGTTGTTTGCTGGAGTCTTGAAGGATACGCTTGGAGAGAGTCTGCAGCAGTCTTTCGAGGCACAGGCAGAGGGACTAAAGTTATACCTTGAGTGTTAATAAGGCTGTAAAGTAGGAAAGTACATCACCTCGTCTCTAACAATGCCGAACTCTTTGTAATACAGAATGTATGTATTTCCGATATTATGGCTGAATTGGAAAACCGGCACGATGCGCAGTCGGCATGGTTGACATGAACCCGACGGCGAATGAGCACTTCGGCGTTGCAAGCAGCCATTCCGACCCCTGTCATCCGTTCCGCGGCGGGCATGCGCGCATCTCCTCTGTCGCAATCGCACATGTACAGTACACGCCGCAGCGTCAGGCGCTCACCATGAGTACTTGTCTCAGCAACATGTCTCTGTTTTCTGGCTGTCTATCATAGCACACGTTCTTTTGTCTTCTACTTGCTCCAACTACGCTTCGTCCATCGTTCCACAGTGAGCGCGCAAGCCAGACAATACTTATCGCACATGTGCAGCCCTCGCCTTCCAGCACCATGACGATAACCCCCGAGCTCGAAGCCTTTGCGCGAGCCATATCGCGCGTGCTGGGCTGGGCCTACTTCCTGTCGTGGTCAGTACCACCTTCCATCCCTCTTTCCCTCACCACCAACTAACCCAACCCCACGCAGGTCCCTATCCTTCTACCCCCAACCCATATCGAACTACCTCCGCAAATCCACGCTCGGCCTCGCCATCGACTTCCCCACCCTCAACGTCCTCGGCTTCACCTGCTACACCATCTCCACCGCCTGCTTCCTCTACTCGCCAACCATAAAAGCGCAATATGCGGCTCGTCATCCTGACGCGCCGGAGACGACGGTGCGGTTCAACGATTTCTTATTCGCGGCACATGGCGCGGTCATGTGCGTGATTATATATAGCCAGTTCTTTGAGAGTATTTGGGGCTTTGAGATTGGCAAGAGGCAAAAGGTTAGTCGCGTTATACTGGGGGTTTGGTGGGGGTGTGTGCTTGCTATTGGGGTTGTGGTGGTGTTGGTCAAGATGAATGGGGCTGGGCGGGGATATGATGCTGAAGGGTGGGCGTGGATCGATGCTGTGAGTTATCTTGGGTGTACATCTACCTCACGTCGGCTGTACTAATACGAAGTAGATCTACACGCTCGGCTACGTCAAACTCCTCACCGTCTTCCTCAAGTATATACCCCAGGCCTGGGTCAATTACAAGCGCAAGTCGACATTAGGGTGGAGTATTTACCCCATGCTCTTGGATTTTGCGGGTGGCTGGCTTTCGCTCGCACAGTTGTGCATTGATTCTGCGTTGGAGAACGATTGGAGTGGTGTTACTGGTAACCCAGTCAAGTTTGGACTGGGTAACATTACTATTGTGTTTGATATCATTTTCATGCTGCAGCATTATGTACTGTATCGGCATCCAGGGAAGCACATCGACGATGAGGATGAAGAAGAGCGGGAAGGGCTTGTACAGGGTCGGAGAGACTAGTAAATATACATGCAAGGCTTCGTCGGGTATCCGACTCATCATAGCTCACGAGTTCTGCTCTTCAACTACCTTCCATTGCTGCTATGATATCTTCTGGTGGCACAGACGTGACATCAACACGCCATATGTTGACATCTCGACAACCCTGATGCGAGTCTAACTGCAATTACAGCCACCTCTCACGCACTCTTCCCTGTAAGCTTCTCACAAGCCTCCTTATACTTCGCCGCCGTCTTCTCCACAATATCCTGCGGCACCGCAACCCCCTCCTTCCCCTTCAGCCCCTCACCCGTGAGCCAATCCCTCAAAAACTGCTTGTCGTAACTCGGCTGCGCCTTGCCCAGATTCTTCTCCCACGACTCCTTAGGCCAGAAGCGTGAGCTATCCGGCGTGAGCACCTCATCAACAAGCACCACCTCACCCATCTCATCAACGCCAAACTCAAACTTCGTGTCCGCGAGAACGATACCAACCTCCTCTGCGCGGTCTGCAGCAGCGCTGTAGATAGCAAGTGACAGTTCCTCAACACGCTGCGCAATCTTCGCATCGCCAATCATGTCTCGCGCTTTCTCGGGGCTGATGTTCTCGTCTTTGCCACCTACTTCCGCCTTGGTACTCGGTGTCCAGAGTGGTTCCGGTAGCTTCTGGCCTTCGACAAGTCCGGACGGGAGTTTGATGCCGTTGACGGTGCCCGATTTGGTGTATTCGGACCAGCCTGATCCGGTGATGTAGCCGCGGACTATGGACTCGATGGGGAGGATACGCAGACGTCGGACTTGCATGCTGCGGTCCTTGAGCGAGATTTGGTCCTGGATTGCGGAAGGGAGTTCTGAGGAGAGGAAATGGGTTTTTAGACCGGGGACTTTGGTGGGTAGGTAATTGAACCAGTATATTGACATGGCGGTTAGGAGGGCGCCTTTTCCGGGGATACCCTGGGGGGTTGTTAACTGAGGCTCTTTCTTCCATTTCAAGTGTCATTGAAGTTTGGTGAGGTTGAACTTACATTCTCCATAATCACGTCATACGCTGATATACGGTCGCTCGCAACGAATAGTAGTGTGTCATCGTCAATCGCGTATAGATCGCGCACTTTTCCAGAGGCAATCTTGGGTAACTTGCCCTGGATGTCGATAGTGGTTACCGCTTGAGCCGACATTTTTTTCCCGTGAGTTGATTTCTTGGTGTTGAGTTTGGGGAGTGACTGTGCTTGGTGGGGATTTATGCACGATCCCGCGTCGAGTATTTTGTGCTTCAGCGGGGCCGCTGTGGCTTTCTCGAGGAAAGTGTGGCGGTGCTTGATCTCGGCTGCGATGGTTGCCTTGATACACGAGGCTTAAGTATTCGCGATTAGCACTGTCAGATTGAGCCGTGATCATCGGAAACGCATATAAACAAATTCAAGATTGTTTGGGGTAGTCGTTTACTTCCACTGTTACGTGACTGCTGGTCCGGCCTAATCCGTCACAAGCCCGGGCGTAGATCGATTCACGCCTTACTTCATTCGATCGCCTAGCCGCATCACTACACCTCACCCAACCACCTCTTTATCACTCCACGTCCTTGCAGCTAAACCAGATCATCTCTAATGTCGTCAGTTCAGTTCACAGCTTTGATACGTCTCCCGTTCATCCGGGGTGACTTTGAAGATCCTCCGCAGGTAAAGTAGCATCTGTCCGCGTCTTCGGTGCTCATCTGACCGCGACATAGGCACAATGGGATGCTGAGAGGGATCGCCAACTATGGAAGGTCATTTCTAAGTCTTCCAAGACCAGTGATTTGAACTGTAAGTATTCAGGACCCGTTCCAGAACTATCTCAAAGAAGTACTAATCTATCGTAGGGGTCGAGTTGTATGTACATGCAGGCTACACACTGCATCACCCTAACTGACCATGTGACAGAGCCGACAAGTTCCAGGTTCCACCAACCTTCCTTCTTCAGCAAGCTGCATGGCTATATGAGCGACATCTAGATCACGTTCGTAATCAAATGAAGAAAGTCAGCATCTCGAATGCTGCCCCGTCATCTTCGCCGACTGGTGGTAGCACAATGACTGCTGTTGGTGGCGTTGCGATGCGAAGGGGAGGAAGTGCCGGATCCGGAGGTATGTAAAACATCAGCATCATTTGATCTTGCTGACAAAATGTAGCTGGGAGGACTACATCCGCGTTAGCAGGACGCTCGAAGGACAGTCCGAGTCTGCGTGGCGCAGAGGTAGTGATACCCGGTAAGTCTCTTGACAAGCATTTCAAATGCCGCAGTAGACATGTTTTCTTACATATCTTAGCACCTTCGCTCTCGAGGACACCGTCTACCACCACGATCACTCAATCCCGGGCACTTACTCAGGCCCCAGCTCGAACATTGTCTACACGCTCCACTCAGCGACCTAACTTGACAAGTAGAAGGTCTGAAGACCGGGCGAATGCGCCAATCTCACCACCAAGTTATCGAAATCACGAAGCAGCTTCTCCAGACATTCCCGATTCGTCATCCTCGAGCTCATCATCGCTATCGGATACTGATCATCCAGCGCATCGAAGCCAACTCTTCAAGCGCCCGCCGCGTTTCCAGCAGAAGAAACCGCGAGAGCTTTCGACGTTTGAGGAGGGAGACGGAACGCAAGAGATTGATGATTCAGGCTCACATGAGACAAGTCTACCTTTTGCAACTTCAGTCAGGACTAAACCAAGCATTAACAAGTACGCGCAAGACTCACGCTTCCGAGCCAGTAGCAGCAAGGAGCAAAAGGTTCTGCAACCTGCCCGCGCAAGGAATGCTCCGCCTATCAGACAAACGTCTATGGACGTACAGTCGATTGCGACCACAGAGACGGCGTCGTCGATGACTAGCTCTGGCGGACCTCCTTCAGCCGCAAAGAGCCCCATGAGCCCAGCCTCAGACCATCGCGCTGCGCTAGGCCGACTCGGTAGTCCACGACGCGGAGGACTACGATCCAGAAAGGAAGGTAGTGAAGGCACGCCGAGTATGGGCAGCAGCTTCAGCGACATTGATGGTGAGTCCTGGGATTATCCACCTTTAGATTGATATACTCACATCGGACAGATGCAGGTATCAGTCAGTCGGCTCTAGAGGAAGCGCTGTTGAGCAACATGCAGCATGGAAGGATGAGTACACTTAGTCGCATGTCGAAGTGGTAGGCGTGACGGGAGCGATTTGGTACGGTTCTTCGGACGCGATGGATCTCTTTCACTCTCACTACGACTCTTATTGTGTGCCGCTCAAGTTGAATCTATTGTGCAAGGCAGCAAGTCTTGGCACTACTCTATCAACTTCGATTGCTACTCGCCCTCCACAAACAACACTCTTACCACTAACTAAAGTCAGCTCACATAGGTCTAGTTGCCGACGCGATGGCTTCTCGCTCGTTAAAGCCCGTCGCAATGCCGCCGCCACCCATCATCCTAGTGACAGACCACTCCACAACACCCGCAATAGCCACACGCTACACATTCGGCCGCAACGACATCGACTTTTCCATCGCCTACAGGCGCATCAAATCCCTCCTCATCCACCCGCCATGTCCGCACCACCCCCAATACCTCTGGCCCTGCGACGACTGCGAGTCCGCCTTCACCACAAAATACTGGATATGCGCCGCCACCCTCCTCGACTACTTCGCCGACTTCCACCCCATCGACACCCCACTTATGCAATCCATCTGGTTCTACCTACTGGATATCTGGCAAGAAAGCGCGCACATCCTGCCCTACGAAACCGTGCTTGACGAAACCATCGAACACAGCGCCGCGCTCATCGGCGTGGCGCGCGCCAGAGACTTTGAGAAAGCAGTCCGCGACACCATTACTTTGTTCGAAGTCACGATCTGGGGCCGGAGGACAGAGGCGGATTCATGGGACCAGGTCATCTATGATCCAAGAGGTGAGGCTATGTGTCCTGTGGGAGAGTACGACACAGGTCCCTGGGTTAGTGGAGTGAAGCCTTGGAATCAGTTTTTAGGGGATGGAGGAATGGGTGTTGCGACGCCGTGGTCTGCTGCTGCTTCAATTCCAACGGCACAAGAACCTGGAAACGGAGAGGGAGATGGAGGTATCAATGGGGAAGAAGAGAAAACAACAACACGCTACATGCCCCACCCCGCCATCGCCCTAATAGACGGCCACACCGCACGCTCCCGCCTCCTCGCCAATTCCTTCTACGCAAAACAAAAGCTCACTCCGCCCCAATACAACGCCGCCCTCGCAGACTACGAAGCACACACCGTCGTCCTGCCTTCCAAGCGCGGCGAGCCCCACACGTACACTTCACGCTTCACGGGCCGTGAAACTACATACACGTTATCCAACGGCGCGCCGCCGATCATGCGCTACGAGGGGCTCGGCGACCCGCAGTTGGAACTCGCGGTCCCGGATGGAGATTGGAATTTGATGGATGAGTGTGTGGCTAGTTGTAGGGGGGTTACGGCGTATGTGGGTGTTAGTGGTGGGGATGAAGATGAGGAGGATGAGGATATGGTGAATAGTGAGGATGAGTTGGTGCCGTTTGATTTGTGGACTGTCGTTGAGAAGGGGATTGGAGGAGGGGGACGTGGCGAGGTGTTGGATTTGGGAGGCACTGGGGGCATGTTTGAGACTTGGTGGGAGGGAGAATGAGACTGGATCGGTACGAGTTTCGTAAGCGTATTGTCCGAATACTTGTGTTTATATCGGCCAACTCCAAAGGATGGTCATTTGGAATGTAGTTACGGTAGAAAGTATATTTGCTATATGTGCATATGTACAATACTAGCATTAACTCGCGCGCTATAGCAAGGTATGATGTTCGTTCATTACAAAATCAAATCGTGGATATCGTCGCGTAAAAGATCAGTTTTCCTCCAAATGGTCCTTGTTGTACCTCATCCACTTGGACCACTTCTTCCTCGTTCAAGACCAGTTTATGGGGAGTAATCCCTAGGCTTGCGCTGAGACTCGGTGTCCAGGAAGCTGCCGCGGCTGCGGTTCGACTTGGTAGAGCGGCTTCGGCGCATGCTGGAAGAGCGGTCGCCGCCGAGACGGCCTCCGAGGCAGAACATGACGGTGGCGAGGAAGTAGCAGGCGACGGCGGCCCAGGTGAAACCCATGAGGTATTTGCCGATGCTAGCTTCGAAGCCGGCGGAGCGGAAGGCATCGCGGCCCTTGACTACCCATGCGCTGATGAATGTTAGTCAATGTACTAAGAGATATACGGATAGATAGACTTACGTCATGAGGGCTGCGGCGAGGGTCTGGAAGAAGAGAGCGACAAACGTCATCAGTGAAGAGAGGTATCCTCCAAGACGGCTGCAGAGCGCAAGGAGACCAGAGATGAGGGCGATGGCCGCGAAGAAGAGAGCAATCAGGTAGAAAGCAAACATGAAGCGAGACAGGTAGTAGTACATGTGGGTACCAATGAACTGTTCGGGGATGTTTTCCTGAGTGCCAAAGTTCCTAGGAGGGTCGAATGGCAGCGCCGGTACAGGTGAGCCGCAGTTGGCATTGTTGCCGGAGTCGGGGTCGGCGCCGCAGATGGCGAAGAAGGTCCATCGCGATGGGTTTCGTGCGTTGGGGATGCCGCCGGTGGTGGCTTCGAGGAAGTAGAACTTGGTGAGAGGAGCCTTGTTGACGCCGCCGGTGAGGATGGTCAGGAATTGGAAGAGCAGGCCTCCAGCGACCAGGATCAGCGAGCCGAATGCGAGAAGAGGTCCTGGAAGGTGTGTTAGCAGATGCGCAACCGAATTAGGAAGCGGCAGGCAACGTACTAGCTACAGCCATGGTGTATGGTGCCCAAAAGAGTCGTCGTCGCAAGGGTGTAGGTTATTAAGATTAGGATGCACGATAATGGTGCGATTACAGAGGATGGTTCGACGTGGCTAGCTGCGTCTCAAACGCGCGACGAAAAGAGGCCTGGCAAGCTTGTTTATGAGGTGCGGCCAAGCGGGTGACGTAGTGCACCTGTGAATCGGCTCTTTGTTGGCGTCGTCGACTAGCTCCCTCATCGCACAGGGTTACGGCACTATCGCGCGCGCTTTGCATCATCCCGAGGCTGCTCGACACGCCCAAGCAGCCAGAGGGTCCGCGGCTTGTCTGCAAACACGCTGGCGGATGCGACGGATCGTGACGGAGGGCTTTAATGTGTGTACAAGTGCGTGATGTGTTCGGCACGTGAAGAGATGGGCGGAGAGATGCAGGGATGGCTTCCTTTCTCGGATAGTAGCGAGATCCGCAATGTGAGCGGTGGATCCTGGCCATCGAGGAGCTCGGGCAGCCCGACACCAACAATCTGCCGCATCGTGCCTTGGAACTTGGAAGCCATCACCGCCATGTCGACTGCTGTGTGGCCGCCCATCGATGACGCCCGCCTCGCCCACGAGCAGGCAGAGTCGCAAGCGCGCGAGCTCGAGTGGCTGCTGGTGCAACTCCGCGAGACGCTGCAGTCGCTCAAGGCAGGCCTGGAAGAGTGCGCTGCCCTGCTTGCGCCGTCGGAGAATGGCTCGACACTCGTGCTGACTTCGGTGCGCTCCGAGAGTCTCAAGGGCCTCATTACTCGCGTGGGCACGCGCATCACCAAAGGCGTATGTCCTTCACTCTCCGTCCCCATGCAGCAGCTCACACCGTGCAGAACGTCAAGCTCCGCCTCGCAAGCCTCCCACCACCCAAAGGCTCGCTGACGTACGACCTCGCCATTTCCTCTGCACCGCATGCGCCGACGCTTGTTGTGCCCCAGCTCACTTCCATTCGGACCTCCATCAACAGCTGCCTCGACGTCATCGACGTGGCTACCTGGGGCGGCGATGCTACCAACGCCAACTTCGTATCCGGGCAACTGCAACTGCTGCACGATCACATCCTGGAAGCGCAAGCTGCACTGAAGGGCTACTCGGATGTCCAGCCGTCGTGGTGGGAGAACCCCGTCGACGACAAGGTAGGCTGCACCTGAATATCCAACACGGACATTGCTGACAATCACAGACATTCGACCCTCCGCTGCCAGCGAATGTGTCCTTCCACCTGTTCGTCTTCGATGCCGCCCTCGTTCTCGAAATCCGCACTCTCGAGCCACACAACGCCGGCGACAGCACGTCGCTCACTGGCTTCAGCATCCGCAACACCTTTGCATCAGCACTTGGCGGGGCACGAGCACCTGCGCACGATGAAGCCGACCGCACGTTCAAGTACAAGGACCACGACGTGCGCGTGAAAGAGAAAATCCGAGTGGAGAGCCAAGACCCCGCTCTGATATCCGCATCGGCAAAGCTCAACGCCTTAGGACACAGTGTGATGTTGAGCCGAAAAGCGCTCAACATAGTCATGGGTCGAGACGAGCAGATGGACTAACTCCGCGCAAGTCTGACAGCAGTCAATTGCACCATCGACCATTGGGCGGAACAACCACTCATATTTCGCCTTTTTCCGCGGGAATGCCCTAGTGCGATCGCGCCATATCGGCTCGTCGCTATCGGAACAAATAATGTGCCACGCGCATTATCAACACCGCCGAGGAGTAACCGCATCGACGATTGCCTCTACTCATATTACTGCCCCTCTTTCGTGGAATTCGAATTTGTTCAGATCTATCCTCTGCATACTTCATCATGGCGCCAGCACTTCTTACCGCGGTAGACGCCACATCCCACATCCACCTTATAGTCGGCTCCAATCCACTAGCAGGCGCGCGATGCGCACGATCAATAGAGGTTGGCGCGAAACCGATACTGCTCGCGCCCGAAGACTCCACACTTCACTATGGACTTGTCAAGAGGATTGAGGCGGGCGAAGTAAAGTGGCTAAAGCGGAGTTTCAAAGACGACGACTTGACCACACTTGGACGAGAGGAAGTGGATAGCGTAGTAGATGCTGTATTTGTTACTACGGGCGGAAAACACACATCAGGTAAGTGATATGAGAGAATATCTCGAATTCCCTCTAACTCGCCACAGCAACCCACATCTCGAGTCTTTGCCGGAGACTACGCATACCAGTCAACGTCGCCGATGCACCGAACCTATGCTCGTTCACCCTCCTCTCTACACACTCCGACGGCCCTCTACAGATCGGGATCACAACATCTGGAAAGGGATGCAAGCTCTCTGCAAGGATAAAGAGGGAGATTGCGGCGTCACTTCCACCGCGGCTGGGTGATGCAGTAGAGAGGTTAGGCACACTGCGGCGACGCATATGGGAAGAAGATCATGCGGCAGAATTGTCGCAAGATCTAGAGGCAGAAGAAGAAGACAGCGGGCAGCCAGCAACCTTCAATAAGCTCATCATGGAGGAGAGCAAGGAAGCTGCACGGGGACGTCGCATGCGCTGGCTCTCACAGATATGCGAGTACTGGCCTCTGCGTCGTCTCGCCGGCATCACAGATGCAGACGTCGACATGCTGTTCCGCGAGTTCGCCAGCAGCAGCCCCTCCAAGGTCGGACCCACCGCCACCACAGCGGCACGACGGCCAGGTCGTATCATACTGGCAGGCTCCGGCCCTGGCAACCCCGACCTCCTCACCCGCGCAGCACACAAAGCCATTCTCTCCGCCGACCTCATCCTCGCCGACAAACTCGTCCCCGCACCCATCCTCGACCTTGTACCCCGCCGCGCAACCGTCCACATCGCACGAAAGTTCCCAGGAAATGCCGACAAAGCGCAAGAAGAGCTCTTAGAGTTGGGTCTGGAAGGCCTCAAGGCGGGCAAAGTAGTCGTGCGAATAAAGCAAGGCGACCCATACATCTACGGCCGCGGCGGCGAAGAATACGACTTCTTCCGCGCGCACGGCTTCATACCCAGCGTGCTGCCCGGCATCACCAGCGCCCTAAGCGCCCCCCTCTTCGCCGCCATACCCGCTACACACCGCGGCATTGCCGACCAAGTCCTCATCTGCACCGGCACCGGTCGCAAAGGCGCGCCCCTCGACCCACCCGAATTCGTAGCCTCCCGCACCCTCATCCTCCTCATGTCTCTCCACCGTCTCTCCGCCCTAGTCGAAAGTCTAGTTGGCAAAGCGTATCCCGCCGATCTACCCGTCGCCGTACTAGAACGCGCTTCATGTCCTGATCAGAGAGTCATCAGAACGACGCTGGAACATGTGTGTGCGGCAGTTGAAGAGGAAGGCAGCAGACCGCCTGGTCTCCTGGTCGTGGGTAATGCGTGCAAAGTGCTTATGAAGTACGAGCAGAAATGGGTTGTGGAGGAGGGGTTCCATGGCTTGGATAATCTGGGTGGCGATGGCGAGTTGGAGATTAGCAGACTTACTGAGGCGGCTATTGCTGCGTAGATAGTAGATATGAAGGAAATTCAATCTTAATACCACAGAGAAAAGATCTTGTTGAAATGATGTTTTGATGTATACAATTCTTGTCTTCATCTCTATGCATTCATCGTTCTCATAAATTACTAGGCTCAAATCTTGCCTTTCCGTATACACATCATTGACCTCTTGAGGAGGAAGACTCCGCTTCCTACAACCCCGCGTCTATATCGCTCTCATTATTACCATACTATACATTCCGTGAACTTCGTTCTATCCAAGAAAGGTTCTTTGCGCCGTCGTGCCGAAATGCCGTGATACCCATGAATCCGTCATGTAAATAGAAAAGACCTCCAAACGCCAATGCTAAAAGTCGATTTTGTTGTGTAAAACTCGATGATTCGAGTATAAGTGTGTGATCGTGAAATGCGTTTCGTTCGTCGTGTACGATCGTTGCTGTCAGAAGGGAAAGAACCCTATACCTGACTCGTCCAGCTCTTCCTCTTGTTGTTGTTCTGCTCTTCCCAGATGACCAGTTCACGACCACTCCTCTCTCCACCGCGATGTACGCGGTCGATGCCGAGATGCTCGAGACCATCGCGGCCGACGTGGATACCGAAGCCATAACGAATCTTCTGTGGGTCGGTGTAGGAGTTGTGCTTCTCGTTCTTGCGTTCCTTCCTCGTCTTCTTGTCGCCTAGGGCGGGCTCCGCAGCTGGCTCGCTGCGCAGATTGTTGCGGGAAGGACGGACGAGCGAGAGAGCGGACCGGGCCCACGTGCGTTCCGCGTAGGTGCTTCCCATTAGCCTTGCGACGAGCTCTGGCTTTGTCTGCGGGCGGGAGAAGGCGCGGTCGGCGAGAATGGGGGATTGGTAGACCCAGCTGATGATCTCGGAGAGCGTGTTGCTGCGGTGGGGAAGGGCGGCTCGGCGGCGGCCTGGGATGAGAGCGAGGAGGCTGACGCCGTAGAGGGCGAGGAAGAAGCAGAGGGCGTAGTATCCTGCGAGTTCCGCTGCGACGCGGACGACATCGTCGTTGCCGTAGTATTGCGTCCAGAAGCAGCCTCCAGCGAGGATGGGCAGAGTGCAGGATGTCAACGAGACAAAGGACAGAACGGCTGTTTGCCAGTGTCTGTTCTCGAGTGCCGCCAAAGTGGCGGAGAAAGGTAGGCGGCAGGCATAGTCGACTAGGAGAGAAGCCTCAGCGGTAGCTCCGCCTTTGGAGGAGAGCGCCATGTAGGGCTGGAGCACCCGGAGAGAGTAGTCCAGAGACAATAAAGCCAAGAAGAGGAAGTTGGCGATCAGAGCCGGAATGAAGGAGTAGAGGAAGTTTGACGCGGAGAAGCCGTCTGTGCCAGTGCGAGCGAAGACCTGGGGCAGAAATCCAAGGCGGACGGCGCTGTTGACAAAACTGACAACGAAGAAGGCGACCAGCAATACTGCGGCAATGACGATCCACGCAATGACCGAAGTGTCCTTGAGGTACCATGGAAGGAATCGCAGTCGCACACTGGGGTTGCGGATGTCGGTACGGATGGTGAAGTCGTTGCCCTGGGTCGGGTCCAGGTTGGTACGCTCAGCTCCCTTTTCAGTGATACGTCCCTCTTGGACCGAGAACCTCCGAATTCCAGCACCCTCTTCGCCGATACCGTAGAAGACGTCGCTGGGCCTCGTTGTAGTGGTCCAATATCCAATGCGGTCTGCGCGGTTGCTGACCAGATGCCAGTCGCCCTTCTCAAATGTCTCAGAGTTGTTGTAATCCGTGAGGTTGTTCGAGCGCTCAAGAAGCGAGATGATGTCGGCGAGAGATCGAGGGTCCCATTTCAGGCCAGTCGGGTTGCGGGTCAGGAAGAGCAGCATGTAGACCAATACGGCAATTAACAGGATGTAGAGAACAACAACGGTCCAGACAACGCCCTGAACGGCTACCCATCGCCAGACACTGCGGCCCACGTCATATCGTACGTTGTAGGCGGAAGCAAGAAGGGGTATCGTCCAAGTAAACAGCCATGACACGAAGAAGAAAACACTGACACCGGGGTGTCCGGCGCGGAAATGCTCAAAGTTAGGCCATACGAACTGCATCGGGTACAGTCGGAGGAAGACAGCCTCAGAGCGCATGTGGAAAGAGTCCGAAGCCATGGAGATGAAAGGTATAAGGCGCTGGGTAGCGGTCTGGATTTGAATGAGCCATAGAAGTAGGAGCATTCCTAGGAGAGTTGGGAGGTATTCGAAGACAAAGTAGCGGTTGTCGCCGAACGCGTTGTAATCCCACAGGCCGTTGCCATCATTGCGGTTGGAGTAGACGGCGGAAAGGATCAAGGCTGCAAGCATTAGAATACACAAGAAGATGTAAAGGCCTAGCCAGAATGGGCGAAGGATAGCCGGGAGGAAGTGCAGAGGCGCATGTTGGGTGTGTGCTACGAAGACATCGTTCTGTGTCCGGGACGGAGACGGTGAATGCTGGGGCCTGTACTGTTGGGTTGGGTGATGTGGGTCGTAAGGCTGTGTGGTGGCCATGGGTGCTGGGGCTTTCGCAAGCGGTGTTGACGAATTCCTCAAGGGCTTCCGTGGTATTTGTTGAGACATCCTTTGCTGTGTCCGTTGTTCCTGCGCTATGTATCCCAGGCCATTGTCGTGGACAATCCTGTCAACGGGGTAGTCATCTTCGTCGTCCTCTGGTCGGACCTCTGGGTATATCCTCGATCCGCGGACCTCTTCGTCGCGTGTGAGTTGGTCGATGGCGAATCGAATGTAGGGTGTGGTATCCTGGCCGGGTGTGGTCACCTGGGATTCGGCGTCCATGTTGTATGACTGGGAGCGCCTCGCGTCTCGCGTGTCTGGTCTCGACTCCTCTGCGATGGTAGACACAGCAGGCGATTGAGGGCGTCCGTGTGTGAAGGAAGGCTGAGGCTGCTGTCTTGGGACACCAACACCTCGCAGAGACGTTATCGGGATGTCAGTGTGTGGCACCAACTGCTCATGACTCTGTGCCGGTGTGCGGGAGGAAGGCGGTGTCTGGTAGAGAGGCCTGCGCTCGTCGCTCGAACTGGACGCGTGCTCTGACGCGCTGTAGTAGCCCTCAGAAGCAGCGA